TATAATGGATGTCTTTTATTGTGGGTTTTATTTTTCAAATCAAATAATTGTGCATACTGATTGGTAATCGAATCGCTGTTCTTGTAGATGATTTAGGAGTTTTGATTTTCTAAATGTGACATTTTATTCCATCATGAGTAGATATATCGCTAACCGACAATTCTGTAATTCAATTTTAGCATTTTCTTTAATATGCCTGATATCCATTAGACATTATAATAACTTTACAACCTTTTTGCGACTGTCTACAGCTTGAGTACATGTTACTAAATGTCAGATAAAATATGATCATTACTTATCATTTTGTTCTATCTTATAAAACAAGACAAACATTTTTATTATGAAAATATTGCAAGATTCCTCATTACCTAAATAGATGAGTGGTAAATGTTCAGTAAATTTGCTGTTGCAATTGCAATTAGATGAAACATTACCATAAGTGCATGATGCTATGTGTAGATTACAAGGGTGCATAGAAACAGAATTAATTTTAATATTGTCAGTAAACTGTGACGAAATTCGAAAGTCTTAATTTTGACGGTATCTATCTGCACAAATAAAAGATAATAATAATTGATTAGCTTGTACTTCTTAGTAATAAATTGATGACTGAATATTTTGTAGATATTTTGATCATTCCCAACCTTCATAGCATTTGTCCTTTACTCTACATTTACTGAATCCTCAAATGAGACTGTATTGATAATATCAGTCTTATGCAAAATTCATTATCCTCAGACCCAATCAGTCACTAATCATATAATTATCAGTCCGGTCTATCTAACCTATACTTTACTACAGTATAGGAACGTAGTCGAATAAGTTACCTATTTCATAAAGATCTCTTTAGTTGATAAGAAAGTCTTCAATGCTTGTTACTGTTTTAGTTGATCAAGTTATAAAAACAGAGTTTCGAGTCTATGACTTCGATGTACCATGAGGGGCATATTAGTTGTATTTAGCCTAAACTGTTTGATGAAATGATTTTTAAGATTTTAAATAATCTATTTTTCTGGTATTCTGTGTCATTCATCTGAATTGATTTCCTTGGCTGTTGTAATTTGAATTAATTACAAAACAAATCTTTTTGAATATGAATGAACATATTAACATATATTAGTTGTCTGTCTAGTTAACGCTCGTTATAACCTATTTATGTACTTACTACATAGGGATTTTAACGGATTACCTTAGTCAGACTTTATTCAGTTTACTAACAGTCAATAAAAGCTTTATTCATATTAGCATTATTATCATTTTGCTGTTAGAATTAATTTCAGACTTCTTTTATATAGAAATTTTCAAGTCTTTTCGAAGTCCTGGTAAGCTATCATTTTCTGTGTGGTTTTATAATTTAAAGTCATAATTCACCAATTGCTTTTCTAATATTGTCAGCCAATTATTGTATACTCTATTCATGGTTAGGCTGGAAAAAAGGCCTTTGAATGCTATTTTGTATGTAATCAATTTAGAAAGAAGTTTGATCACAGATAGAAATTGGGCTATCTTACTATGGTAAATATGTACCGGTATAGGATTGTTCATATGGATGTTGTTGTTGCTAAGGTGTCAGCAGCCTTCCACCATTAAATGCTTTACTTTCATTATATAATGAGACATATATACAAATTTCTCCTGTTTTAATCTGACATTTGAATTGTTGGACATATACATACAGCTTGTGATTAATTATTTAATTTGAGCAGGGGGATCGCAATCATCAAATTAACATAAACAAACAATTTTCTCCTATGCATTTGTTTACTAATACATACACCCAATATGAGAATTATCCAAAATATCATTATCTCACATTTTTGTTAGAATATAAGCCATGATTGGTAGGTATTCCAAGGCAACTGCTTGGGAAATGTTAAAAATCCCCTTATTTGTAGTAAACTACAAAAGCTTTATGATTTGCTTGAGTGGACCTACTATATATGATTATTTGGCACTCCCGTAGTGTGTGTACCAGGTTAGGGTTAGGCCATAGTTTTATTCCGATTTTCCTTATTTCAGTTCTATTACGAGTTCGGGGACTGTCTGTGTTAGCCAAGTGAATACCCCCTGGCCATAGGTTTCAGTCCCTGTTCACAACTTGATGTAAAGCAGGCGGACAAAATTAGTTACCTCAATATTGGTACACACACTTCTGGAGCGCCGATTATTGGACATGAAGTGGACATATGGATCACTTTTCAAAAGTCTTGTTATTAGGGTTATTGTTGGGATAAAATCTTTTATCTTTGCAACTATTGAACCAAGTGTTTTTTAGATTTTCAGTACTTGAAGATAGAAGAAGTCGTGACGGCGCTTTCACTTTTTTTTTTGGTATTTCACCATAAATTTTACAGTTTTGTTCAAATTCATCGCTGTGACCTCTACCAGTACTAATGCATGACATTCATGTCCATATGTTTAAAGGTTGCTATCTTGTTTGTTTATAAACTTTATCTGGTTAATGTATTAAATTTGCAGTTGAAAATTATTTTAGGATTTATTGGCATAAAAGTATAGAAGGGAGGATAGATTGTTTAGCCAAGTAATGTTTTACTATCTAATTATAGTAATAATAAGCCAATACTCGGCCACTGCTTTTTAATATCCCATTCAATTTTTTGTTGATGTTTTGATCATTAAATATTATTTTATCTGATCAATGTTTGTTGTTGTTTCAGAGATGTTTGAGCGTTTACATTCTTTAATAATAGTGTCATATCATTTGAGAAATACAGAGAATTAAATCTTATTTTCCTTATAATTTCATTTGTTAGGTAATGAAGTTTTTGAAATTATTTTGACTCAGGGTTTCTAATACTATGGTTTTATAATAGAAAGTATTCCAGACAATTAATCCGAATGATGTCATAATATCACTGAATATCTCATGAAATTACCGTAAATGCTCGCTTTTTATAAATACTCCTAATCATCTATATATATCTTTCATTGTACATTCTATATTAGTATTTCAACTGATTTAATTTGATGTTCCAGATTTTATGAGTAGGGCTATGCTTTGGCGGAGCAAAATAAATGTATAAACTACCGGTAATAATACCTACTCTATAACATAAAGCAATGTTTTATCTATACTTTTAGTTTTTTAACTAGTTTTTTAACTCACCCAAATTTGTAACGTGGGAAATTGTAACATTAACCTGTACATAAAGCTTGAACGCAGTATAGTATAAATAAAATAACCTTCAATATTACTGTTGTACGTATTTGCTATGAAATGTCCGATTAGTTTCTAGACTATATAGTACAGTATTCTAGAATTCTGTTCTGCTATCTGCTTTGTTTTGTATAACTAACGATTTACTGTCTAATAAAACCGATAGTAATAGTTGCTTGCTGGGAATGGTTTTTTCTGCTTCTTCACTTCGGTGTATATCAAGTTTGAAAAATATATTGAGGAGACCTAACGTTACTCATTGTTTGGCATAACTTTATCAAATTCGTATTTGATTTGCAATGGTTAACTGATGATCCCTCACACAGTTATGTGGCCGAACTTTATATTTAAAAACACTTTTCAAGTGCCTGTACACAACAACTGTATGGTATAGAAATCAAATAAAATGCCATATGAATAAGGCAAAATTCGTGCATACGTAAATTCAATATATAATCAATTTTTATATTAAACTCTTTTATCAATTGTTGTGATAAAAAACTCTTACCGGTATATCTCAATGGATCACAAATTATTGCCATTGTCAGGCGCGGGACTGCTGTTTCTCCCATTCACAAGTTTATTAGCTTTCAGAATATTGAACTTCCTGTTCAGTTGGTCTGCAAATTATAGGAATACCATAAACAAATTTAAATTGCTAACATATTATCAGCAGTTGAGTCATCATGCCAAGAGTAAACTCATCATAATTCATGTAAGGGCTGGACAGTTACAGCATCCTCTACTATCAAGTCCATACATCTGAAAGAAATAACTGGTTACTTAGCTATTTCCATACCCGATATGAACTGGCAACCGAAAGTGAGTCGTGGATCGGCATATGATTAAGCCGTCTTACCTCCTTCAGGATAAGTTTGAAAATTTTATCCTACAAATGTGATTTCATGTATTAGAAAAACCACTGAAAAACAGTTGTACTGTATTGTTGACGATTGTCCACTGCAACCAAAATTAAATAGGGTCTAGTAAATATGAATTCATATAGGAAATCATAATAATAATTTCATTGAAAACGAATATTTTTTCTAGGATATAGGAACTATTTTTTATTGGAGGCTAAAGTTTTATTTTTGATCTTTTTATGGCATACTGGAAGTTTTCATTTCTTATATAGAAATATGCTTGTGTTTTCTAAGCATTGTAAGTTTATCATTGGGTGTTTTTCAATTATTTTGTTTGTTAGATCCGATTGTTGATTAATGTTTTTAATTAGTAGGTATTCTACTGTTCGTCCAAGCTATATATGGAGATTATTATTATGCCAATTATCCGATTAGTTCCGTAATCAATAAAGGTTATTACCTCCTTACCCATGATATAACAAATTATATAAGCCAGAGTGTCGCAAAATATCAATCCATATTTTTGAAAATTATTTTTCATGTTCCCTCATTTAAAATTTAATAAACAATAAAATTCGAAAATATTAGTGTTGAGAAAGAACTACAACTTGCAGATATCTGTATCCAGTTGTATTAATATAGTTTTTATGAACAAAAATTAGCTCACATGTAGCATCGATTTAATGTGAAGAATTGTAAGACTCTTCTTTGTCGTAGATTAATGAAGTCAATTTTTTTCGATGCAACAATGGCCTGTGATAGATAAAGTAAATGCGTCGCGACTTTTTGAGCCTTTGGTATAGGCTATGTTAAATTTCTCTTGTATGTTTTTTTGGCTTAAACTTGATATGTAAAATGAAATGAGAAAAAAAAATTAATAGTTACGTCAGTTCAAAGCATTTTTCTTGATAAATATGTAAAGTTGCTAATGTTCAGTTGTCAAATAATATGGTGATTAATTTCAACTTTTTTCAACAGATTTAGAATAATTTTTTAGACATGTTTTCTGAAAGTTGGTATGCTGATCATGCGTTCTATGATTTTGTGATAGAATGACTTCTGGCACTGACTGGCAGACGAAATATAATAGTAACGAATCTTCTCTTACAAACGCAGGTTGGGGGGCTGCTCCATCAGGCACAGTCAGCTCTCCTGTTTTGCATCCGGAAAGTTGGCCACAGTTAGGTTCAGAGCAAGAAGTAGTACAAGGACAAGAAATGCATCAACAACCGAGTCAGAGCTTTGGGGGTAATTTACAACAACCCGATCCTGGAGGTTGGGGTGGTGGGGGTATTTCAGGCGATACTAACACCGCAACAACAAGCAATGGTTGGGGTACTCCTCAACAAAGTACTACTGGGTGGGGGGTCCCCGATAGTGGGGGAAATAATTGGTCCAGACAGCCCCAGGTAGACAACGGAACTGCTGTTTGGGGAAAGCCAAGTAACACTGGAGGCTCATCAGGTGGTTGGGGAGCTCCATCTAATCAAAGTCCTGCTCAATCAGCTTGGAATATCCCACCTCAAACAACTCCATCTGCTGCGGCGCAAAGTTCATCACAGCCCGAACAACAGCATCAGACTGGGCCATCACAACACCATAATTCAATACCGCAACAGCCCGAATCTTGGGCAGCTGCCGCTGCTGCACCACCCGCACAAGGACAAGCGAGTCATCAACCTCCTGTTTCACAACAAAATGTACCGAAGGATACAGAAACAGATCAGGCACAAACACAGTTACAACAGGCACAAAGTCCATCAGATTCTCAAGATGCTCCTCCTAATGGTGACGTGGATCCAAATGACCCTGTACAAAAGCTTGTCAATTCCCATGAAGGTTGGGGGAAGAAGCCTATCCTACAAAACACATCCTGGGATATATCAGAATCACCGAACTTTGTCAGGCAGCCTCCAAATAAGACAGGCACAGAAGCTTGGGGTAAGACTGCTGCGGGTCAGCCTGCCAGTGGGGGATGGCAAGGTAATAATAACGTTGCTACTGGTACCCCTAGCGTACGTGGTTGGGGACCCAATTCCAATCCAATACCACAACAACCCCGACCATCATGGGGTGGTGCAACGCAACCAACTCAAGCACAACCGGGATGGGGTGAGGCTCGTTTACCTCCCCCAATGCCAACGGCTAATGTCAATCGCTGGAACACACCTCCAACAGCTATGCCAAATTCAAATCAAGGTTGGGGCGCTTCTGGTGTGCAACAGGGTAACAATCCTTCTGGTAATTGGGGGAATACTACTCCTACAGATGGTGGCAGTTGGGGTAATGCCGCACAAAGAAACTCTCAATCTAATTGGGGGAACACTAGACCTGGACCAGAGAGTAGTTGGAACCAAACACAAAACATGCAACGTCAATCCAGTCAAGTTGATGATGGAACCTCGGCATGGGGAGATCCAACCGCATACAAAAGCGTGAATATGTGGGATAAAAAACAGGGTATGGGAATGAACATGGGGGGTATGGGTGACGCTAGCAAAACAAAAGCAGAACCTACTGGCTGGGGTGCACAGCCAGGATCACAAAATTTGCCAAACAAACCACCTTCACCCACTGGATGGGGTGATGGTAACCCACCAGTCAGGCAACCTAATGTAGACAATGGGACTTCTAACTGGGGAAAACCACCACCAGTTAATTCAGGTTTGAGCTAGATATTTGGTTGTATTAAAGCACAGTGTTTCTTCTCATTATAGAAGGCTATCTTATTTCATATAAATGTGAATCATGAAGAATGAGTGGACTAACAATTATTACCTACATGAATGTATTAAAGCTAAGAAATGTTCACATTTAGAATCCAATTCATTTAACATTCTAAAGAGAGCGTAACTATTGTGCAAAGCATCCTGGATTACTGGACCCTTTTTTTCGAGTCGTTCTGGTAACATTTGGAATGTTGGAGCTTGTCATGGGCAAAGAGAAATATGCCAATTTGAAAAAAATTTAAACAACTCCATACTAGTGTACGAATTTGAAGGAATTTTGGTTCTTTGTTTCTAAATTTCACGAGTTCCATTTCGCAGTTATGACAACTTGCACAGCCTTCAATTAGCTTCATATTGATACCTCATTTCATTAATTTATTCATCAGCATTTGCATTTATCAATATTGTACGATTAATTTTTCAGGATCTAACTGGGACCAAAATAGCAATTGGGGCAACAAACCAAGCGCCGGTAACACAAGTGGATGGGGTAACACCCCAGAACAACCCGGACAACAGTGGGGCCAAACAGATGCAAATTCTGGTTGGAATCAAACATCAATCAAGGTAATAATCAAAACACCATGTAGGCTAACATTATTTTGTAATATTGTAATTGTTATTCTTTCTGGGATTCTTTGGTTTGTTGTTATGAAAATTGTCCTCGTCTATGCAACTAACTTAATTGAAGGTGGGAAAAGTTGTTAAAGCCCATTACTTTTTCTTGGAGTCCTGGGAGGTTCCACGGCTCTATATTTCACCTTAAAACCAGCAATTTTGCGCCACTGTGTGGCATTCCATCAGACAAGTCTGCCATCTGTTTGGCAAATCCGGTACAAGACTAATTATAATTATCTAACTAATACCGTACCGGTACTTATTTGAATTGCTGTGGGACTTGATTTGTGACTTGAACGATTATACACCAGATTATATACAGTTAGCATGGCCTTTTGCTGTAATATGTTAGTAGTGTCCATATTTTGAGCATTGTTGTCTTGTTAATCCCTTGTTCTTCTGCGCTTATGACTATAGTAAGATATGAATTTCCGTCACAAATCTATGTCATATTGGTTAAAATTTAATTCTCTATATCTCCAAGTCTAATTATTACACACAATCACAGACGGTGTGTATCGTATTCTGGCTTAGTAAAATTAGTTTCATTCTTTATTGTTTAGCAATGCTACATTTGCTTATATCATCACAACCAGTTACAGGATGGATGGTCTTCCATTTGCTATCGTTAGGTTTCATGGCCAAGGCTGTTATATAACGCTTATTATTTCCATTTTGTATTTTAAGCTGTTTCGTAATCGAAATATTTATTTTTCAGAATGATATTGCTGGAGACAAGAACGGAAACTTTGGTAAGTTTTTAAATTTTCTTATAACACTACCTGTGAATCTGGTGATTGTTAAATTTTAGAGTTTGCTACTCTATGACAGAGGTGGCAAACTTGTCCTTCATTATTGTTGACCAGAAAGTTTATAATAACACATGGTTCTTTCACTATGAATGGGGCTCTTTATCACCAGCTCAGGGATGTTCTAAACGATTGAATGTTAAGAAAAATTCAAAATTCATTATATTCAATGTAGGGTGCTCCCGAAGTATGCGAACCAAGATGGCGGACATCGGAACGTAACATGGGTAACATGTTAGGGTTAGGCGATAATTTTTTTCCAATTTCCCTTATTTTAGTCCTATTATCAGTTCGAAAGCTAGCCAAGAGCCTCCCGTAGTATTTATAGCTAAAATTATGGCCTAACCCTAACCTAGTACACATATTACATTCCGATGTCCGCCATCTTGGTTCGCATACTTCGGGAGCCCCCAATGTAGTGAATTTTTGAAATCTAGGAATAACATTTTTATATAAAAATTAGCAATTTTGAGCCGTCAGACAAGTAGATCAAAACGTGTGATATCCCAACTGGTAAGAAACAACACTGAGAAGACAATGACTTTTTTACACATATGTCATCAACATGAAGATATATTGATTTATGTAATTTACCACATGAACTTTCCCCCAATTTAGAATTTATTCGATATTTCATATTCCAAAATATTTTTTCGGAATGTATTTGAAATAGTAAAATATTTATTTTTGGCTATCCGGGATCTACTATACGAGGAATTATTTGAATCTTTTCAGTTCGGCATTGCCTACCCATTTTGTTACACCCTGGGTTAGGTGGTGGGCACGGGTTTGATCAAGAAATCTTTAACCTTTGACCCCAACATAGTTAAGTTCAATCTTTAACCTCTTGCATCCACCTCTTGCCATTGCATCCACAAAATATCGCAACATAGTAAAGAGCAAAAGTAAATAGTTTTCTTATCGGATTGATTATACTGACTAAAATACATATATTTGAAACACTATAAAAATAATTTGCTATCTTATATAAGAATAATGAGACTATTAATTTATAATTTCAATTTTGGTAAATTTAATTTGATTAACCTCCAAAAAACTATTTGAAACTTGAATCTGCAGTAAGGTTTCTACAACAGAATTTTTTCATAATTTTCCTCGTTTTTTTGTATTTCATGCTCTATGTCATAATAATGAGCATTAATAAAGATACTGGTTCGAGCTAAGTGCTTGAGAGTTGAGTTATCAAATGATATTTGACATGTTAGGCCACTTTTTGATGTACTTGTTATGCAATGTTATTAGACTGTACCGTAATTATTTATGGGGACTGTTTATAGTAATTAAGTGGCTTTCTATTTCACAATTGTTCAACTATTTCAATTTTTAATAATCAATATGCCATAAAATGTTGATGTATTCCAAATTTTTATACTGGTCTTAGTACTGAATTAAGAATTAGTGTTTTTTCTCTTATACAGAGTGATCCCAAAAAATATAACCCTCAAATTTCTCAATTACGAAATTAATAAAAAAATTATTTCAACTTGAACTTTTGTCTATGTATGTATGATTGTAACCAAAAGTTTCAGCGCTTCAGATAAGTGTGTGTACCAAAATGGAGGTAACTAATTTTGTTCGCCTACTTTACATCAAGTTGTGTAAAGTCACTGAAACCTATGGGCAAGGGGGTATATTCAATTAGCTAACACAGACTGTACCCAATCTGTTAATAGAACTAGAATAAGGAAAATCGGAATAACATTATGCCCTAACCTTAATCTGGTACATATACTATGGGAGTAACGAAGTTTCGGAAACGTAAGACACAGAATTTGTTCCAAATGACCTTTTCCGTATTTCAATAAAATAAGCTACAGGTTCTGTACTTTTAAAACTTGTTTGTAAGGTCAACTTAATTCTACTTAATAAAATATAATAATTTATTGCACAGGATTCGTCGACCGGAAGCCAAGCACTGGGAGCGACAGCGTCTTCGAAGAGGGTCATATTGATGGTGGTACGTTAGGCACGGATGGGAATGGCCATCCTGGTTGGTTTTGATGTCCTGATATAGTTGAATTGATGAACACTGTTGAATTGATTACCTGATTTTATTCATATATTTCAATTAATGAAGTTGTGTAACGATTGTAATTAAGGAGTGTTAAAAGAACCAATGATTTATACTCAATTTTCTATACAGCTTTTATGGTTATCGAGGTTAATATATAAAAATGTCAATTAATCATTGAGCCCGTTTTGCAATTTTTGCAAAAATACAATTTACAATTCGTATTTTTAGGAATGAATTACTCCCAATTTCCTTCTGGACAATCAAATAATCTTGGAATGCCAGGTATGAACGGTCCACGTCCTGTACCTCCACAACCTCTCATGAATCCTAACATGCAAACACAATATAGACAACAAGGTCCTCCAATGCCGCCACAACTTCAAAATCAACTTCAACAGGTTTGTTGAAACTGTTAGAATTACCATATCTTTGGCATCATTGGAATTTTAGGTAGTTTTGTGGTTGTTTTTGACAGTCCTTATTTTCAATATGTTGTTTATCGGTTTAGTGGAAACTGTAAATCTCCAAATGGACTAGAAATGAAAATTGTAGATAGAGGTCATTCTATTTTATTGTTGGAGATTCCAACTGCCTGAATTTAGCTGGTTTTTAAGTATGATATGGTTCTTGAATTGGCATATTCTTTAATAATTTAAAGATTCCAATTTGTAAGTGGCCTTTGGTTTGGCAAGTAAATTTTAGTTAACAAAATTCTAAGAATGAAAATTGATTGGTGTTATCGATTTCTTCTATGCTTTTGCGTCGGTGGATCCGTATGCATTTAATGCAAGGATGCTGTAGCAAGAGTAAAGATGACTATCTTAAGTGATTCAAGAGTCTTGCTGCACACTAACACAAATATATTTCTGTAACCTTTTGTCTGACCAAGGTCAGACTTCCCCAGACATACATAGTTCAACTTAATAGTAGAGTATTTGGTTCTATTAAGTTGAACTATGTATGTCTGAGAAGGTCTGACCTTGGCCAGACGAAAGGTTACAGAAATATATTTGTGTTAGTGTGCAGCAAGAATCACTTATGAAAATTGATGATTGCGTATTTGATGGCAATTAAGATTTGTTTTATAGGTATTGTAGTTTTATTATTCCTAATACATTCGGACATCACATTATCATATATCCTCATATATTTGTTGTCATAAGTATATTAGCATATTAAAATTCTGGATTTGAGCATATTCAGCACATAAATTAGCAAATTAATCAATGTTAATTTATAGACAATAAATTAGGTAATGCAGAATAGTTGTAAGTTTAAATAATGTCTGTTTTGATTGATTTTCTATTTTTTACATTGTTAGATGTTGAACGAAACCTGTTCTTGACTTGCCAATCGGAAACAAAATACTGATAAAAAAATAACCTCTAACGTTTCATTCAGATTCGGCATGCAGTTATGAAAGGTGTTATCCCACAACAAATGCTAAACCCTCAGCTCATGACTCCTCAACATTTGAATTTATTGCAACAACTTGTCATGAAAACAACAGAGTATCAACAACTCACATCCAAGATGAATATGCTAAACAAGGTGAAATTTTTTCCCCCAGATTTCCTTAAAAAAAAAAAACTTTTTAAAAAAAAAAATTAGTTGCTTGGTGATGTAAAACCTATTTGTGTGGGGTTCAGTTGTAGGGAAAATGTTCAGATTGAGAGGATTCTAATTTTGTATATTTGTAGGTGAATAGTTTATTCTGCTTTGCAATATTCTAAATCAGGGGGGTACAACTTGCTGCCCGCTGGCCAAATGCGGCCAACTGGAAAAAAAATTCACCTGTACGAACCGAACAACGCATGTCATAGGTTAATAACCAAAATTTTTTAGCCTGCCATTACAAAAAATCCTATGTTAAATAAAGGGGCAGCCCACTGTTTCACCCAGTTATTTGTATCTGGCCCTCCTGTATTAAAGGTTGCAAACACCTGTCCTGAATGATGATGTTCGTTATTTTGCTATTTTTTTTATTTGACAGTCTATAACTTTACAGCGTAACATGAAGAATGATGAATTTTAATCAAACTATTCATTTTAATGAATTTATAAAAGTTAATTTTTTGAATGATAATAATTTATGACTCATTTAAAGCAAATACTATGGACATGTCTGGCAATAATTTACAGTTGATATATTTTCATACTTACAAAGCCAAGTAATTTTTAATAACGCCTTTCTCTCCTTTTGCTTTTTTCACTATTCTCTCCTTTTCATCATCACCAATTAGGGTTAGTTATTTGACAACTTTGCTAACCATAGTCTTCTATCCAATATTTCTAGGAAAGTACCCATTGTTCAATTTCAACATCTTATCATTGTACTTTATTTAATTTGTCTGCTTTATTTAATTTGTCTGCTCACACAGTTGACTAGTTAGATGTATCATCATAGGCTTACTGTTAGTCCAAATTTTTTGCTCTTCGAAGCAAAGTGGACATTTGTATTTCTAGTATTGTTTTAAATGATTTTACTCACTGAATAACCATAAAATTATACTTTATTTTAACTTTAAAAAGCTTCGACTTATTATTCATTACCAAGATATAAAATTAGAACTGTATGGATGTTTCCCGACATGCTTATTTTGAGAGCGCTTTAGAGATTTGGCACAGAGTGGTTCAAAACCACAATTTTTATTGAAATATTTAATCACATTCCGCTCGGTTTTCCCAGCTTTTTCGGGACTAATTTTTGATCATTGCAACTAAACTAAGGCTCGTTGGATGACCTATTGTCAAGGAAGGTATCCGATTTACAAATAATTTTTGGAAATACATCTGGAAACTGATAAATAACATGCAAAAGCGTGAAAACCAGGCTTTACAACCACTCTTGAATATCTGTCTGAGCGGAGTTCTGTACAAATTGCAAATGTTACATTATTGTTAACATATTACTGATTCGTCGTTGTTATGGAAATAAACAATGAAATCGATACTCGAGGAAACATCCATTAACTTGTCACTTGGTCTCTCTAATATGACTTTAGACTAATTTATTATTAAATTTTATTTCCAGCCTAATTTACCTCCACAACTTCGTCAGCAACATGAACAAACTGCTCTCTTGTTACGACAATGCCAACAACAGATACAGGTATGAAAATAAATTAATGGAAATTTCAGTCTCTGAATACGAGTCCCTTACTTATTAACCTATTTAGACTGGTTTTGGCCATATTTGAAACTTTCATAGCAATGCTTTCACCTTGTCAAAAACTTGGAAAATTTTTTTTTGGTTAATGGCGATTCTGTCTAATTTTGCTCATTTTGAACGTTAGAAAACTGGTTATGATGTTTCTCATCAATTTTATTAAAATTAGGAATAATAGGTTTAGAAAATATTTTTAAACTTATTTTTATGTTTTTTAAGTGATTCAAGGATCTTGCTGCACATTAATTCAAATGCATTTCTATAACATTTCACTTGTTTTTATGTTCATTTTCAATATTTCTCTTACTTTAAACATTTGGTCAACATTCTGGTGCAATCTTTTAAAAATTATTTTGTATTGTCCATATAACGTTTTCAATTCTATCACACCACTGGTAATACCTAATAGGAAAAGTATAAACTAATAGGTACTCCCATAGTGTGTGTACCAGGTTAGGGTTAGGCCACAATTTTATTCCGATTTTTCTTATTTTAGTTCTGTTACGAGTTTCGACTGTCTGTGTTAGCCAATTGAATATACCCCCTGCCCATAGGCTTCAATCCCTTTACACAACTTGATGTAAAGTAGGCGAACATAATTAGTTATCTCCATATTGATACACACATTTCTGGAGCGCCAAATAATCAATATATATGTACATCACTAATCAATGTTTACAACTTAATTGGCAGGCTTACCAGCGTGCACTTACACAAAACATGCTGCAAAAAACAAATCCACTTCAAGCGAAATCGAACGTGGGTGCAATCGGGCCGGGGTCTGGTCTTGGCCTGGATTTTCTCCCGCCTTCATCAAGTTCAATGCCACCTGGTAATAACACAGGATTATCGTCATTCAGTATGTCAAGTATGAGCCAGAATCTACCAGGATCTGGTTTTCCTAACAGGTAAAACTGTAAAAATATTTCATCAAACAGAACTTGACAATTTTTGTTTTCAAATTCAAGTGGAAGTCTTATATTCTCTTATATTAGCTGATCATGAACATAAGTCGACCCCCTAAAAACGGCCCTAACACCATAAATTTTGAAAAAAATTCGTATATAAGCCACCCTTACAAATTGTACGCTCTTATCGTGAAAATTTTGCATGGTTCGAGTTGTAGCTGTTGGAATTAAGTTAGCATAATGTCATACTCATTTCGCTTGAGTGCGGTCACAGTTATGCGTGTATAAGAATTTTCAGTAAGATCAGAGGTTTGCACATAAGCCGACCCCTTAGTTTGGCTTAGTGGACCCCTTAGCGGAGTAAACACACATACTGCGAACGGATAGGTCGAGTATTAGGAAATATTTCCTGGCAACAAGGGTTGGGAAATATCCACTGATTTCAGTAACACATTTTCAAATCCAGTTCCTTACATTGTTTTGTGAATCTGCAGGGAACAGCAATCTCGTTTACATTCGTGGAGAAGGCCTTCGCTCGGAATTGATGGACCTTCTGACACAAACCCACCTGATCAATCACCAAGTTCAATGATGCCGAGCATCAGCGATATGATAGAAGTGCAATCAGGGCTCTTGCCCCCATCTGGTGGACCAGAACCTATTGGCCAATCAAGAATAACTGGAGGTAAAAGTTGTTAAAAATTAAATACAATTTTTAGGCATAAAGTAGATGTATGGATTTAGCTACGCACCCATGAACGCAATTTTGAATCTTGGTGTTCTTATGCTGGAAATAAAACGATGGTTCGAAGTGTTATTCGTTATGCCATAAGTTGTTCTTTTGTTCGAAGCGCTAAATAGAAAATATTACTTTAATTCTTTAGGTGGGTTACTTGGACTGCAACAAATGCCAGATGCAACTTCCATGCAAAACACAGAATCAAATGGTAAGTTTTGGCAATGATTCTGCAACTTTTATTTCCAGTAAATTGAAATTAGGATGCGTCTTAATTTTGACAATTAGATATATAGACAATATATTAGTCTGTTTATAAAGTCTCGCTCTCAGTGAAATATTCCAAAAAACCATGTTAGTGACTATTGTGTATCAAAGTCTCATCAAAAGCAAAATATTTGATAACATTTAAAAATATGATACCCGGGTTAAATGATATTAGTGTTGATACCTATAAAATGAAATTACTTTTTCGAATGGGCCTTATAAAATTTTTATCGAATATCTGCCGAATTAATTTATTTCGTATACATAGGGTCTGTTATATTTTGTATTAAATATCAAATTTCATTTTTTGAAGTTACTTTTGTGTCGGGCAAGTAGAAGGGCTGATACCCGCGAATTTTCTGTGCTTAAAAGACTGGAGAAATTGCTACGATGCTATTACTTTTTTTTTAACTTCCTCTGAATATGATGGAAATAACCAGATATGTGATTTAAAATTTTGCTTTATTTTTTAATCCATGGGAACATGTTTTATGACTTATGTGAACACTTTATTCGCGCTTCTCCGCTAACCTTTTCAACAAATTCAGTGTTCAGCTGAGGCCTCTCCAATACAGATGTGATCTTCAAACCAATATATTTAATCATTGTTCATTTGCTCATTTTCATTGTTTATTTCACAGGTCCTGATCAAAACGGTTCTAACGGAATGCTGAATCAAACAGACAAAGGTTTGACAGCAGAAAATATAATGGAAGACAACTCGGATGTAAACAATGAAAGTTTGAAAAACATTCTTGCAGATATTGGTCCTCCAGAATTCATTCCTGGAAAGAAATGGGCGGGATTTCGACCGATTGATCCGGAAAACGATCCAGATATCACACCTGGGAGCGTGGCAATTGCTAAAACAATGTCGGTTAACACTGTGAAAGATGTTGATCAGGTAAAGTTTTCTTCTATTTATTTTTGTAGAATTCAGGATTTTATGTCAGGAAAAGGTAAATTAGAAATTTTTCATTTTGTCTGTTCATGTTCCTTCTTTTCACTTTTCAAGCATCATGTTTGGGTCATAGATGGGTACTCCCGTAGTGTGTGTACCAGGTTATGGTTAGGCTATAATTTTATTCCGATTTTCCTTGTTTTAATTCTATTACGAGTTTGGAGACTCTCTGTGTTAGCCAAGTGAATATACCCCCTGCCCATAGGTTTCAGTCCCTTTACACCAGGGGTGCACGACACGGGGCACGCGTGCCAAATTTGGCACGCCATATGCTTAAAATGTGGCACGCGAAAGGTTTTGTAAAAAACAAAATATTTATGATATACATTAAAATATCACATTTATATCAAAATCAGCAGGTTTCCAGGACATTAATTTTTTTTAATGAATAGATATTCGTTATTGTGTATTATTATTGAAATTTGATTGTTTTACGGGAGTTAGTTTACAATACCACAATTGTGCGTGGCACGCGAAAAGATTATTTTGAAAAATTTGGCACGTATCCTCATTTAAGTTGTGCATCCCTGCAAAACTATTATTATTCTAATATTTCTTCCAATTTTTAGGTGCTGAACAGAGACCGGTACACAAACTCACAAGTAGGGAGTCCGTCTTCTGCAAATGAAGCAAAAGTCGATGTAAGTATTACTCTTTATTAAATATAAAATGTAAAACAATTATTTACAATTATTTCTCTATATTTTCAGAGCCTATCACTTGCCTCATCTTTTGCCAACACATTATCAGACAATCCTGGCATGGCAGCTTCGTCTTCAACATGGTCTACATGTATGTATGATTTGTCTCATATGATTTTATAAAGTGCATTTGTTCCGTGCAAATGGAGTTTAAAAATGATTAAGAATTTCTGTATTTTGTGTTGTGTTCTTCGCTTACTATTGTGCAAAAATGAGATATTTCCATGGTTATCAGCTACCGTATTTCCCCGAAACTAAGTCCTGGCCTGGATTTTAAAAATGATTTTTATATGAGCCCTTCTCTTAATAAAATAAAAGCTAGCTGAAAGTGCTTCCTTTGAACTAGTCGATAGCAAGAAATCTATCCTACACGTTTTAAATGATTTATAATCTAATTTTAAAAGTTATTCTAAATGAAAAAAACATGTTATTTATAAGTAAATGGATATCGGTTTTCATATTTTGTATACTTGAAAATCTCGTAATTCTCTACTTTGCAATTTTGTTTCTGATAAATGAAAATGAAAGCCATCCCCCAAAAATAAGCCCTAATAGGCCTATTATTTTTCGAAAGAAAATTGAAATAAGACACTGTCTTATTTTCGAGGAAACACGGTTTTAGTGGCACATTAGAACTTTCAATTCCACTTTTGGGGTATATTTTCCTAAACGAAAAGTTTATCTGTTGAAAAAGTCAACTCTTTTGTGACTGTTATAATTGTGACGATTGTTTTAAAATCAGCTGCAATTTCAGTGCCATGGTATGGGAATATTAAAATTTACCTGCGGCCTTGTCAGGCATCATTTGGGAAGGTGCAGAACCTACCGAAGTTATTTACCTTGGAGCCTTGTTCTGAAAATTTGTTAGTTATTGATAGCTCTTGAATGGGACTCGAACCCACTCAGCTTCTAGATCATTGGTTCTCGGACTTTTCAAGCTGTGCCCCCTTTTTAGAATTTGTCATGTCTCACGCCCCACATCAAAAATAACTAGCTAACAACAAGCTACAACAGATAATAAGGCAAAAGTATGTTTTATTCGAAAAAAAACTCGCTGAAAATAAATTGATGGAACTTAAATAATCAAATAAATTAAAGGTTTTGAAAACGAATATGGTGGGCAAGATCAAATCTAACGAATATTTTTATTTTCAATAAGCTTCACCCCCCCCCCCCCCCTCAAAAAATTGTCTACGACCCCGTTCTCACATTTTGAGAGCCATTGTTCTATATTGTTGTTCACTAATATTGCATACCATGTTGGCCTCTCTCTACTTTTTATCTCAAACAACTACAAAAATTGAGTTGGAACTGAAATTTTTTTTATATCATCTACTGTTGTTTAGTAACGCTGATAATTTATTTTCTTGTTAAAAAATATAGCGTAAAGAATTTTGGTAAATTTTTTAGCTGGGGGTGGTACTTCTCTCGGTCATACACCAACGACTCTCACTCACGAATTGTGGAAAGTTCCTCTTCCGAAACAATCATCTAATCCAGGCAATCGACCACCTCAAGGTAAATATCTGATTTCAATAAGAAAAAAAAATTCATTGCCGTGTTTTTTTCACATAGAAAAGCAGACTGCCCAACAGAAACTTGTAATCATTTTCAAAATTATGGCTAAAAAATGTTTTAAATCTGTAGCTTTGAATTGAATAACTTGAATATTTATGTTTTTATTCAACCAATTAATCAATTTAGTATCCTTTCAGGATTATTATGCAGAATCTTGTGTTTTTAAAAAGATATTATTTCTTTTGTGTTATATTCAGGGTGGTCATCTGGGCCCGCAAGCTCATGGTCAACACTGCCTAACACACAAAGTTCGTCGAGATATTCTGTACCTAATGGTCCTCCTGAAGGTCAGTAACTATTTGTCTTTTTAAAGAAGCTTGAAACATATTAAATTGATCATGATAAGATAGGATGAGACGGCTTTATCATATACCGTGTTTTTCCAAAAATAAGACCTAGCTTGAAAATAAGATCTGGCCGATAGCGCAAATTTTTTTGACCTAGTCGGTAGCAAGAAATTTTTCCTACACGTTTTCAAAGGATTAATAATCTATGTTCAGCAGTTATTTTAAATAAAAATGTGTTGTTTATAAGTAAATGGATATCGGTACTCATATCTTGTATATTTGAAAATCTCATTATTCTCTGATTTGTAATTTTGTTTTTGAATAACGAAAATAAAAGACACCACCCCCCCCCCAAAAAAAGTCCAAAAAAACACTGTCTTATTTTCGGGGAAACACGGTAGCAACTCGATGCCTCTCCACGTGGGGGCTACCATGTGGCTACGAAGGTTCAAACGGGGACCGATCACGGGGTTCAAACCTGCGAATACATACAGACGTATGTTGAGCTGCAATGACAATCTTGTTCCTAACACTCAGTACAGTTACACTCAGTAACGGGTCATCATGTCGCTTGCCTTATTCTCGCTTTTGGTGAAAAAATAAAAAAGTATTTTCAATTTTTTGGATTTTGGATTTTCAGCATGATTTTTCTGTGACTTCTTATTCTCCAGCATGTTCTTCAAACATAGAATCTTAAACAACTAGGAATTAAGTTGTGACGTAACAATAGTTTTGTCACACATGATGGCTCGTATACGTTTGGTTTTTTTTTTGGGAGAGGCGTTCTTTTTGATTCTCTAAATAAAATTTTCTCAGCCAGCTCAAGCGTATAACGTTCAACTTCATCACATCAAATCAGAATCTGTCTTATCTGTTTAAAATGTTTTCTTGTCAATACTGTAATAATGTTCTCGAAATGTAACGAGACCCCATTAAGCCCTTTCGCGACCCACCGGGGAGCGGGAACCCCAGCCCTGGACTAATGGTCAATAATATATGTATAACTTTTGCATGTTTTTCAGGTTCATGGGCAGACAATAAGACGTGGGTTGTGTTGACAAATCTCAATCCACAGGTTAGTATAACAAAAAGATGTGGGTTTGGTCTGTGATGTATAATATTTAACAGTAATAAAACTGTCTCAGTTTATCAATTGCTGTGAATACGTACTAGGAACGTGAATTGGAAGATAGAAAACAATTTGAAGGCTTTAACTCTGACGGCAAAAAATTGGAAAAGCTGTTTTAAGAAAATATAAAACAGATAGCTAAATTTTTTTTGAAATGAGATTATAAATATAATGCAAGCATGTTTAGGTTCAACATACCAACTATAACAGCAAATTTAAAGCACTATCTATATTTTTTAATTGATTCAAGTGCTGCATCAGTGCATTAATAAAGGAATAGATTTGCACCAACACAAAAGCATAGAAGAAGGACAAGTAGTTGACCATCATACCAACCTAATTTAAAACACAATCTACACCAGGCTGGGTGATGTACCTAGCTTCTCTCTGTGAGGAGCTCTGTTTTTGAAACGACTGGAATCTTTCCTGCTCGACCTTGCGCACCCAATTTATTGGCTGTGGGTAAGGCAGTGGGCATGGAATTTGAAGCAAGGATTGTAATCCTGTAATTCCAACATAGTTATTTTTACCCACCGGCCTTTCCTCAATTCAATTTTAGCAGAAATTTTTAAAAATGTTTCAATTTTTAACATTTCAGATGGATTTTTCAAATCTTCGGAACCTATGCAGTATGAAAGGAAACATGCTCTCATTTCAGCAAAATTATCCAGTAGCTGGCATGGTCCTTGTGAGATACTCAAGCAGTGAAGATGCAATTCATGCCAAAAAATCACTCAATATGTCAATGACAGGGAACGTTATGCTCGTTGCTAGTATTGCAAGCGATCAAGAGGTAGATTTTTTTTTTTTTGTTGTCTATTTAGTGCTATCGATTGTGTTACTGTCGGACCAACTACCTATTGGAACCAGACACATATAATGCAAGGATATCAAGAAGCAACGCTCTCGAATCACTTGGAGTAGTAAAGAGATACTAGGAATGGGATGAGCCCGCAATTAATAAAATTTGATGCGTCCGAATAATTGGTCAAGGACTCTAGTAAGTTTTCGAGTTTGTGAAGTCAAAATAGGTCAACAGTTTATATAAAAGTTTTTAATTCCCAAATCAACTTAAGATTAAAAAAAACTGTGAAATAATCACATTTTTTACAGGTAAACAACTTTGTTTCTGCATCTGTCGGTGGAAACTGGAATTCTGGACCCACTGGTGGTCAGTCCCGCTTCACATCGAGACATTCATTCGGATCTTCAGGCACTCTTCTAAGCAATCAACAACAACAACAACCTAATTACGGTTCCAATCCAATGATGCACAATTCCGCTTCAACCGGCGATTTGCAACATTTATGGTCGACTGGAGGTAATAATCCGGGCATGGGAGGTTTTGCGTCTTCTCAACAGGGAACGTCTTGGTCTACTGGCGGCAATACACCTGCGGGAAGGGCACCATCTGGTGGTATGTGGGGCAATACGTCATCAACAGGGTATGATGACCCAAGCCGTATGATGAGTCCGCTACACAGTTTACTGCCTGAAAATTTGCTCGGAGAACAGCAAATGTAGTAGGTCTCTTTAACTAGAGGAGATTGAACAAATTTCACTGATTGTTTTACTAGTTTTGCTTGTCAATGCCACTTTTATGGCCACTTCAGTGCTTTTTACTTGAACCGTCGTTCAAACGATTTTTGCAACAATTTCTCCATCATATATTATAGCCTACTTTATTTCGCGTTATTTCATGTATCCCTCGACGTTAAAGAGTTCTGTGCTTAACCATTTCTGCGTACACATGACTTTCTATGCTTGATTATTTTCGTTCGTATAAGAGAAGCTGTTTAACTAATACACGCATTCGTAAATACGCAGAATCATCTCATAATAATCGCTTTATTGCCAACTTGTTGTTATTTTTTCCGCTAACTGTTAACTGCAAATTGTTGGATGATGATTTCTTGGTGGATATTTTATTGGTCTTTCGTCAGCAATATGACCAATTCATTTTTACGTAATTTAATGTCGCTAAGATATCTCTAGTAAGCTTCGGTTTTAGTCACTATGCTGCAGTATTATTGTCATAAAATTCGAATTTTGACTCAAATTAAAATAAGTGGATCTAATTATGGGGCTATGTTTACAACTGTTGGTCTTTCTTTTTTTTTTAATCTGAACAGGTGATGTGCAAAAGTTGAATTTGAAAAAAATTGGAAATTATTGCTACCTATTAATAGTTATGTTCAAAAATTAAAACACTCTTTTTTTTCTGTGAAATTACTTCATTTTTTGTTCTATTTTGCTGCAAAATCCATTAAAATACTCAAAATTATTTAGAAAACAAAATTGTGGGAATCTAAACTATATAGATATGATAATCACTAATCATTATCTGGAATCTAAAAGTGCTGATAAGGTGTCTTTGTAATCTGTATGGTACAATATTTCATTCATTTACATTTTCTGGTGCTTCGGGAAATCCTAATTATCTGTGTATTTTTATATGGTAAAGTATGGTTCATGGTTGGAGTATGAATTTTATCTGAGATATCAACTATCACATCGAAAACAATTTCTAGATGTGTGAAAATAATTGAAAATGGCACCATTTCACACATGGCTGATCATAGTTCAGACTTTAAAAATGAAAAATTTTCTAAACGATTTGGTATAAAAAAGTTGGAATAATTATATTTGAGAAGTTGATATAGAGACTAAATTTTTTGAAATTAATACAAGTTCCATAAGTCATTGCTGAGTTTATAATACAAAATGATTAAGGTTGTGTATGTGCTAATCAACTAATTCATACCCATTCCGTTAAAAAGATGTCAAAGTGTGCAATTCCATTCTACACATTTGATTTGGCGTTAATAAATTCGCATATTATTGCATTTCTGTAGTCAATTGGGAAAATCTGCACTGTGATAATTTTGGTTTCGTGATTGCTATCGAGTTCCATTAAATTTGCGTTGTGTTGATTCCATTCAAACAGTTAGTGATCATAGCCCCAGTTGTGTAGTTGAAGTAATCAAGCTAGGAAAATAAGAAAAAATTTTCAGCTTGGGCTTATTACATGTAAATGCAATTGCGAAGCTGTACAACCAAAACTTTTTTTGTCATAGGCATATTACTTCATACTTTTGGTGATTCACAATCTTTAATAAATTTCAAAATTTTTTTATTTTTTTGTTGGAGACAGATTTTATGTTGCCCATTTCTTACATTTTTTGTGAAAAAACTCATCATTACCATACGATTCTTTAATATAAAGCGATTAATATAAATGTTAGAGGTGACTCAATCGATATGATTTTATTTCCAGTTGTTGTCGTACATTTACTCAGTGCACAATTCTACATCTATTCTACGGACTTTTTGTTTTTATTTTATCAATTTTTTTTCACATGTTCCCATTTTTTCACGTAACTTACAATTTTGCTCTTTTTTTTTGCTGTTGTTGTTTTCGCTCTCTATTTTTTTTGTGTTATGTTTTGTTCTCGTGAAGATATTTGAAATTTTTTGCTGAAGTTTGTCCGAAGCAACACGATGTATGAAGAAATAATAATCCTACTATTTGCCAATTTATCCCTATTTTGTTTTTGCTCAGATGAAACTGTATTATTTCCTATATGTAATTATGCTTTATTGTGACTGAGTAGTAAAGGAGTTCCTAGTTTTGATGTGATTGATCGCTATCGCTGAATCATACTTGATGAATTTCAATTCCCAAGTAATCACTTATTATACTTGATAATGCTAAGCCCAGACAACACTCTGATTTTGTCATGATGCATTTTATTTTGATCGAAAGGTCATTCTTATTTTGATTCATGACAGTTTTTCTTAAGGTTATAAGTCTTTTTTTTTATCCATTTAGGGATTTCACCTAGATCCAGTAATATAACATACACCTTAAAATCTGAATCGATTGATGCAAAAATTTTGATTTTTTCACTGTGTCTTGAGATAAAATGGAACATTAATTTTGTAACTGATGAAAGCGTCACCCATATTATTATGTGCCAGATAACTTCGGATGTGCAATTTTACTAGATCGCATTTTGCTTACCTCCGATCGTTTTCAGCACAATAAATGCTAGTAGATAGATACGAAGAATCTGTGCATCTATGCAATGGCGGTAGAGAGTAGAAGAACTGGTCACTTCAGGAGAATAAAAATTGATGAGAAAAAAGTGATTCCTTTGCATTGATGATTGCAATTTCATTGGTCAATGTAGTTTAAACGAGATGAACTTTACGATTGAGTTTGTTCCCGCATTAGATTTTTGATCGCATATACCTTGACTACCTTTCTACCGCCAATGCATCTTTGTAGTTATCATTTGCTTCAATCTTTTATTAAATGTTTTTTCTTGCTAGTTGCTTTTAAGACTTGTGTGATGATTATTTGGTGATTTTTTTTGTCTTTATGATGATAATGTCTGTGTTATAATCAGACATCGATAAATTGCGTGACATGCATATCAATGAGCGTGAAGGCTTATTGCTTTTACTTTATTATTTTTCACCAAATGCTTGTGTTCTCGTACATTTTACTTAGTTGTTGATGAACTGTTATATTAGTGCGCATTACTTTTGGTACCAAATACTATTTCCTTTGGTCGGAATTTGATATTGGTTTTTACATTGGTTTTTCAACGAATGAATTCTGTCGAACAAAACAGATTCCAGAATCTAGTACCATGATGGAAAGTATTGATAGTGCAGAAACAAAAGACGGAACAAAAATAAAAGTACTCTAGGACCTTTTGCCTGAATTGTCTAGAGACTTATATTTTCGTTGTCTTATTGCTTTGCTTACAATCTTCATGCGACTCATTTTAACTTGATTTTGTTGTTGCTGTAATATTAATAACAGTCAATTCTCATCAAGTGTTTTTAACTTTCTTATTGAATGCCATTGATATTGTCACTATTCTAATTTTGCGTTTACTTAGCTCTTGTGATATGACTAAGTTTACAATTGTTATTACTAGCACTCTCTCTATTAGTCTTCTTATTTCTATTATTATTACCATTCTTATTAAAATCTTACTGTCTGTGTTGCATTCAACAAATTATTTGCTCTTCTGTTTTTTGTGGTCAATGGGGAAATGTTCAAGTACAGGAGAGGGTATGATTAGCAAAGATTTAGCACGCTAAAGGAAGTTTCATGGAATGGTCAGATAGTTTCTCACACTTATAAAGTGGAACTCATGTAACTTGTATCAAAATTGATAGCTTGGATATACAGCAGCTATGTTAAATCTCTATGCGAACAACCCTCCAAAGGTGTAAAAGAAATTGTATAGGTCACGCTTGACCAGAAAGACTCTCATTCCTTCCAAAATATTAACTCGAAACTTGCCTGTTTGGGTCTGATGTACGGATGCCCATTATAAAAAAGAAGCTGCTGTTTGTGAGATTCGAGTGTACTGCGCTGGTTCGAATCCCTCGCTTACTGTAGAACTGTGGACGAGAGGGTTGCTGACTTCAAGTAACACACAATAGAAAACTGATAGACCATTGATTACCTTATATTTCATCATAATCTGGGGAAATATGGCGTTGTTCCAGAATGAATAAAACGGCACATTCAGGGCGTGTTCGTAGGGGACCAACGGGGCAGCTGACACATGTAGCACGTTATAAGGGTTAGTTTGGTGATTCAATTAGATAGCATTAAAATATATAGACACGGAAGCCAAAACGAATTTCATCATTTACAGTAAACTATCGGTACAACTTCGCAGGCATCATTACCAAAAGCTGACCCCGAGCACTATGAGTACGCTACACGCGCATTTTACTGCGTTCCATCTCTAGTGCGAGCGGCAGCATGTTTCACCTGTCTCGGGGATGTCAAAACAAAAGGGCATTTATGGTGCATTTTTTTTAAGTGTGTATCGTGTTATCGTTTCGATCTACTAAAAAACCATAACGCCGCGACAACAAATAAAAATGGGATAACATGTTATTTGCACAAATATTCAGACGTATAATAGTTGAAGCAGCACACGCGATAGTCTCAGGATGAACGCCTTCCATTCATGGCATAAATACCTTGCTTCGAATCAACGCATTATATTGTAGGCTTTCGGGTTAATTAGCCTCGCCATAGGCTGCCAGGTGTGACGTTGTTAATTAAGTGAGTTTATGGTCCACTCGATCCTCGTCAGTAGCGGTAGCTCAGGGGAAGCGAATATATATGGTCAAACGTGAGGCTATATATGAAGGGTGGGCTCGAACCCCGCAAAGGTAGGCAGAGTTGCATAAATAGTCCAGCAGACAAGGCAAGTGGTTGTGAGAAGAGAGAGAGGGAGCAGAAGGTCCGAAGGGTGAGCGGGGGAGCAGCCAGCAGACGGGGAGGGGCCGGCGAAGCCGCGTGCAAGAAAGAGTCAATTACGAGAGCGGCAGACATGACCGCTGACAACAGCGGGACAGACAGAAGACAGATGCCCAATAACATTGGAGCCAAGCAGGTGGGCTTGTGTGGGCCTGTGGGCGAAGGAAATTCAGCAAGGGAGAGAGGGAAAGGAGTCCGCAGGCAAGCAAAAAGGAAGGCGGCGGGGAAGGAGCGCAGACAGGACAGCTGAGGAGGGGGCTGGCTATCCAGGGAAAAAAGAAAGTTGCAAGTCAGCGACCGGGGGAAAAAATGTGAGCAAACTTCATGGGCAGGCAGGACCACGGGAGGTCTCCAGCGAGCCCCCCCCCCCCGGCCAGGGGGATAAGAAAAGAAAAAAACACCGCAGCAGCTAAGAAAGACAGACGACGTTCATGTGAAAAAATAAAAAAAATTATAAATAAAAGGTGTCCAGCATCCAAGAAAGTGTGGTGGAGTAAGTAGTATTGAGAGTTTAACAACAATTGAATAAATAAATAACAAAAATCCCCGGAGACAAGTATAACAAACGAGAGTGAATATTAATTAATAATAAATAAATAACAAAAATCCCCCGGCAACAAGCCCGTTAAAAAGATAAAAAAAGGAGAGTGAATATAAATAACAAAAATCCCCGGCAACAAGCCGTTAAAAAGATAATAAAAAGCCCAATTGGAAGCAGCGACCTGTCCGGCAGGCGGTAAAATGAAGGATACAAGCCGTCAACAAACAAAACAAACAAACAAAAGCAAGAAGCAGCGACCTGTCTGGCAGGTAAAATAAAGAAGAGTAGTGGCAATATAAAAAGCAAGAGGAAGCAAAAAAGCCAAAGTTGGAAGCAGCGACCTGTCAGGCAGGCGGTAAAATGAAGGATAAAAGCCGTCATCAAACTATATAAAGCAAGAAGCAGCGACCTGGAAGGTAAAATAAGAAGAGGAAGCAAAAAGAAGAGTGGCAAACTGAAAAAAAAGCAGCGAGCCTTCCGATAAGAAACCCCCACCCACCGCCCGGCAGGCGGGGTAAAATATAGGATTAAAAGCCGTCATCAAACTATATAAAGCAAGAAGCAGCGACCTGTCTGGCAGGTAAAATGAGAAGAGTAGTGGCAATATAAGAAGCAAAAAGAAGAGTGGCAAACTGAAAAAAAAAGCAGCGAGCATTCCGATAAGAAAGCCCCACCCACCGCAGCATCCAAGAAAAAGTGTGTTGTGGGGTGTGAGAGAGAATAAGCAACAAGCCCGTTATAAATGATAAGATAAAAGCCGTCATCAAACTGGTAAAGCAAGTTGAAGCAGCGACCTGTCCGGCAGGCGGTAAAATGAAGAAGAGTGGAAATAAATTAAAAGATCAAAATCAGCGACCAAACAAGCGCAGGGATGAAAGCCATCATCAAAACTGTTACGCAGCGACCTGTCCGGCAGGTAAAATGAGAAGAGTGGCAAACTACCGCAAAGAAGAGATAGATAAAAGCCGTCATCAAACTGGTAAAGCAAGTTGAAGCAGTGACCTGCAGACGGTAAAATGAAGAAGAGTGGAATATATTAAAAGATCAAACAAGCGCAGGGATGAAAGCCGTCATCAAACTGTTACGCAAGAAGCAGCGACCTGTCCGGCAGGTAAAATGAGAAGAGTGGCAAACTACCAAAAAGAAGAGAGTGGCAAATTAAAAAAGCAGCGAGCGCCTTAAGGAAAGCCACCCACCGCAGCATCCAAGAAAGTGTGTGAGAGAGTTAGTAGGAATGAATCAATCAATTTTATTCGGTCACTCTGATACAAACAAAACACAAAACAACAACAAAGGGACAAACAAAATACAGAGGACCTGGAGGACGAGCATAACTTAATAAAAAAGTTAAATACGTGCCCGTCCCCCAAAAACAGAATAAAACAAAAACACGATGTAACATCGGGCAACAACTTATAAATTCAAATTAAAATGTGAGACGTGTATGTGCTTTTCCTATACAGATATATGGATTAAAACACTCGCTGACGAAAAATGGTGATGTTGTGGGCCTACTTCAATTATATTGTAAAAATAACACAGTGACAAATTTTTTTTTACTAAAAAACAAGCTTGGTAAATGGATTGGATGTTCCATAGCAGTCTATGCACGAATCATGAATTGGGGTATTGGGTTCTTTTGTCGTTTTCGGTTGGTTCACTTTAAAATCATTGTATCCGTTCCAATGCTTCCAACATTAATATCGAATTTCCACGCACGACCACCATTCAGCCATTCCAACAGGTGCAGTGATCCCATCTTTTCTACGCTCTGTTCCATCATACACGACTAGATTCATAAAAAGATCGAAACCTCCCAATATACCCGTAACAAATCGTCCACCATTCAACTTTAAATCCAATCTTTTATCCATAAACTTCTTTAATTCTAGTGGATGGGCTTTGCTCATGTTGATAATGCGCGATACAGATTACAGATACCGAAACATACAACGCGTAGCATTCACTAGTCTTTTCAAGCTGACACGTCCGCACCAGACGACGGCCGGAATAAACAAAATCCCCCAGCAACAAGCCCGTTGAAAATGAAAGCCGTCATCAAACTGGTAACAAGTTGAAAAGAAAAGCGACCGGTCCGACAGGCGGTAAAATGAGTGGAATGATTAAAAGATCAAAAGCAGCGACCAAACAAGCGCCGTCATCAAACTGGTGAAGCAAGAAGCAACGACCTGTCTGACAGGTAAAATGAGAAGAGTGGAGTCCGGCAGGCGGTAAAATATAAATCCCGGCAGGAATATTAAAGAAAGTAAAAACTAATCCCGGCGAGAATATTAAAATAGGAAAAAAGCCGTGTCATCATCAAACTCAAGTTGTGAAGTAGCGACCTGTCCGGCAATGCGGTAAAAGCCGTCATGAAAGACTGGTGGTGTAAAAAGCAAGTTGAAGCAGCGACCAAGCAAGCGCGCAAGTTAGTAAAAATACAAATTCCGACAGGCGGTAAAATGAGAAAAGTGGAATTATTGAAAGTTCAACAAATCAGCGACCAAGCAAACCTACAACTACCTAACGATTTGCAATGGCTTCAAAGACAAAAAAGTATAACCAATGAATGCCCGTTTGTTTATACATGGCAGAAGCACCTTGTCATCGATTGCTTAATATAACTCTTTCCTGCGACTCAAAATAAACTCACGAGTTTTTGCCATATTATAATATTCGTCACAGACTGATAAATTAGACAATATACAACAATATAAAGAGAAGGCAAACTTAAAGAATACAATATAGACGGAAAAATAGGAGAGCAAACGCAAGTAACTATTAACAAATGTGATAAATACATGGTAAAAATGACAATGCAGTATTTACACTGGAATACGGTGAAATGACAAATGGGCGGTGAGACATTTTCAGATGATTCCCGAGAAGTTACTATTATTTGGACAACTCACACCCTGGGTGAAATGGGGGCATGGGATTTGAACCCTAGTTGTGTAATCTGTGATGCCGGCACAGTTAAGTCAAACACTTTGACCCAGTGGTTCCCAAAGTTGATTGACTGGGGGCCAAAATTAGAAGCAGAAGGATGTGAGGGGCCGATACCGGTACGTATGATTAAGATACATGTATAGTTGAATACATGCTTGAACTGTGATAATGCTTTAACAATTCACAATATCTATAACACGAAAAGGTAAAAACATAAAGTGTCAAACCATTTCACTTAAGCTCGGCCGACAATATTAAATCTTTATGCGGGCCGAAATTGGGCCGCGGTGGGAACCACTGCTCTAACCTATAATAATATATACCTGACTATATATAATATTTACTGTTACATTTGAGTAAGTGCAAACACGACAAGAAAAATCCCATCATGTATTTTCTTATACCCATATCTTGTTTTACTGGATAAAGATATAATTTATTTTCATTCAAAAATGAGGGTGAATATTGCGAGAACAATGTAGAAGAATTATGAAAGAAGCAGCAAATATCAATATTATATACAAATGATGTTACAAGAAGATAAAATTTACTTTTGTACATTGTTACATTACAGAACACTCAATTGATTAAGAACTTTTCAAATGCAAAGAATGTTTCAAACTGGTGTAACATAGAATGTATGTACTGGGACCCTGCAAAAAATTAAAAAGCGATGTTCAACTCTAGTATGTACTCAGGTTAATATGAATAAAATTAAGGTACTTCAACAGCCAGGACGCTTGTGGCTGTTTGTGGAAACGTTTATTGTGTGACTAATAGTTTCATTGAGAAGCCGCTTTATTCATCCATAATTTGATCTCTTTACTAAGGAGAACATACCATTGAATACCGACTAAATGCCTGTCGACATAAGTAACACTAAAGCTGTTTCAACAAATTTACGACACGTGTAAAACCACAGCAACAGATATAAATAATGAAATATTTACCGATGGTACAGACGTTCTTGATACCTCATGATCATCATATTTATACCAATTATTATCAATCGGACTTTTACATGATGCAACATCTGTAAAATATAGGTGAGAAATAGATGTTATTGACTGAAAATAGGATTTATATTTTCAAAACCCAATCGAAACATCAGAGCACATGGTATTTCAAATAAAATAACAGACGACAATGCCAGAAATTTCTATATTCTAATTCTAAAGTTGATCAGTTTCAACTTTTTTAATCAATTTGGATGTGCAAAAAGCAGCTAAAAAAAAGTTTGAATAAAAATAAAAATAAATGTCCAGATAAACAATGAAATTTTTTTTGGGAAAGTCTCAAGAATTGTCTGAGTACCATGTATGCCTGTCATTCATTTACCAGGGTTTAAATCTAAGATTTTCAACTGGTTATGCAAATGCACATATTGGCTGTTACATAAGGAGTTCTATGTAATGTTAAAATTCATATTCAAACTTACAATGTCCGCTGTCCAAACTAGTTCCATGGTGATGCTGTAAAAAAGGAAATAAAGATATTTGACGAACAGTATCGGTGCAATATTTGGTGGGTAATTCGAGTTAGTATTATAGTTCAGAATGTTAAGTATAAGGAAGGTAATTATTCTGACAAAACCTATCTAAAAACTTTTCTTTTGTCATAATAAATATAATTTTTTTTATATAATAATATGTAATAACACATTTTTTGGGGTATCTTAACAGTACCACATAAAATCAAATTCAACAGGGCCAGTTTAAGAGGAATTGGTTATCGCTAAAGTATGCCCTTTTATATGGCGCTTACTCACACCATCCACTCAGAATGAGGTTCTGCACACAGGCAAGCACTGACATCTAACAATATGTAAAGGGCTACAATTTATTAAAAGGGATTGAATCTTTGAGGTTGGCATTGCCTATTCAACTTATTTAATCCTGGAAAAGGTTTTTTAAACAAGCCAAAATATGAAATCATAGATTATCTCCTATAAAATTGCAATGACGAACCCAATTTAATTCAAGAAATTGATTAAATTAATTACACATCTGAAGTTGATAGCAATACCATGATGAAAAGTACATACCGAAACAGCATACAACTGATAGGAGTCTTTTTTCTTCGATCCTTTCACATATTCATTTAAGTTTAAATTCTTTTCCGGAAACTTAACCGAAGTTTGCACTTTATCGCCCCAACGTCCACAGAAAGAAAATCTGAATTTTTTAAGAAGAGATGAAATTTGTTAAAAATAATTGAAAAAGTTTGAGAAAATGGAGGAATTTACTTAACCGGATGAAATTATTTACTGAATGTGACAACTGAACACGTCATGAATTAGGATGAGATTCTTATATTCATTTTGAGACGGAGCAAAAAGTCGATAAAGTAGATTTATCATGTACCACAGGGGTGTGCAACCTGCGGCCCGCGGGCCAAATGAGGCTCTCAAAGAAAAATTGTGCGGCTCGCGAAACGAGTTTTAAATTTAATTTGGTATGTGTGAGTAATTCCAATCCCTTTATGTTGCGAGCCTATACCTGAGTCCAATTTATTATCTATGCCTTAACAGCTAGCTTGTGTAAACAACGCATGTCACATGATCAATAACCAAAATTTTTGTGCCTGTAACTACTAGATAGCCTATGTTAAGATGCGGCCTGCAGTTTTACCAGTTATTTCTATCTGGCTTTCCTGTATTAAAGGTGGCACACCCCTGATGTAGCATACCATGGCCTCCATGGCCAGGTCCGGTTTACCTAGTTCATGTTGGGTATGGGATCAGTTAGCCGGATATTTTTTTTCAGATGCATTGACTTGATGGTGCAGGAAGTAGTAATTGACTAGCTGATATGTGTCGTTAGAACAAGATTTTTGAATTTTTTATGGCTAAATATGAGAGTGTCTCCAGGACACTTTGAATGGAATTATATTAAGGACCAAAATTTTCTAAAGATCAGACAAATCTGGTACAAGAAATTAAGACTAACATTGCACCAGCACAATGAATTGCTATTAAAAGCAATTTATTCTACCTTTTGAAGTGGATAAACAGAACAGGTGGTAACTTCCAAATTTCCATTTTTCTCACAGCATCTCTCTCTGTTTTACAATTCGGACATCTCCATTTGTTATCACCTGATAGTTTCTCAACTTCCGAGAACTTCTTGATGCAGTCCTATATCAAAATTTTTATGTGAAAAAATGGTTTCTATGTTTTGTTTTGACTTCTTATGCAAATAAATACATAAAGGACAAACATATTTTGTTATGTTAGATATAAAGATTTTGAATTTATTTCCAATTAACATTTTCAATTTTTTAATTTCTGATATCTAAATTAAAATTCCTAAAAATACTTCTTTTTTGTTAAAAAAAACAATTCTAAAATCACCAACTAGTTAAAAAATATTTTCACAAAATATTTGATTTACATATAGGTATATTATTGACTATCTTAGTATCTTTGATCAATTCTAAAAAAGTTTATGAAGCTAACGAAACTTGAGTAGTTTTACATTATTACTCATCTTGTGTAAGAGGTTATGATATCACTCCGAGTGATGCTATTTTAAGATGGAGAAAAAGATTCATTCTCACATGTATAGAGCAGCTATTTTGCGATGGTACAGGGAGAGACAAATACATGAAAACGTCAAATTTTCTCGAAGTTGTTTTGCAATGTAAACATTGAACTGTCGCCTTAAACTGACCCTGGAAACGTAGAAAATGAATTTTATTATTAGACATTTTAAAACTATTGACTAGAATAGAATATACAAATAAGATTTCTATATTCAAATAATGAATGCTAATCAGATCATTTTAACAAAAAGAAAATAAATCATAGTATATGCTTTCGAGAGCCATGGTAGTTTTAAATATAAATTTTTACCTAAAAAACTGTTCAAAACGCACGAGGGAAATTCGAACATACCGACTCCCACCTAACTTTATGTATAGCATATACCTGACTGTCAACTTTCTTTATTTGACCTGAAGTGTACTTATGCATTGTTATTGTGGAAAATTTTTCAATTTCTCTGGAAAGAACTGATAAACCTAATTAGGGTTTCTTAATGGAACTTTTTTCAGTGTCCTACAATCGTGATAAATTTATTTCACGCAAATATTTTCTGTTTCATTCCAATTCAAGGGAATAATTTTATATGATATCTGGCAACACTTCTATGACTATAGGACATCATGTCTATATATTTGAGCTTTGCTCGCAATTTAAGAAATAACAGTGATACATAAGTTACCTGAAAGAGTTGAACAATAATGGATTTGTTTAAACGGTTATGATGTTCCCACGCAATTCTTGCAGCTTTATTATCATTCATATTATCATTGTCTTCTTCTTCAACGTAACTCCTTTCCTTTATTTCATTCAGATCTTCATGGAGTCCGTCCATCAAGAACAATAACAGTTCCTGCGTTAAATTTGATGAATGGTAAGTTACAAAGTAAATTATTTTTGGAACTACTCAATTGAAAATTTATGGTCAACACTGACCATAGTCAGCTACCTATTTTAAATTGGTTGCTTGTCAAGTTCTCAGTTCAGAGCAAATTTAATACACACATCAATTTTAGTATCGTGATAGGCAATTTCTGAACATTGATGTGCGATAAAAAATGAAAGAATGCTGAATTCCTAACTATCAAACACAGAAGAAGAATTTTTTAAGTTGTCATATCATCCGCCAATTTTGAAAGAAAAGTAATCATGGTTGGCGTTTTAGATCATGTTTGCTAGAGTCACAGGTTAACAAACTTTTATTCAATCTCATGCCTGTTCAGGATTTAGCAAGTTGTGAAAGCTCTCTATACTGACGTGGAATGATATCGTTCCTTGTAACACACAATACATTCCCAAACATTACAGCTAAGCCAAAGTAATTTATTTGATTAGTTATCAGAAATGAACTTTTTGATCTTCTGTCATTACGGACCCCGGTCATTTTTTGGTCTGGGTTTCGAACCTGTTTAAGTTTTGATTTTAGGTTGTGACTTATTTTTCCATTTTTACGTTTGGCTGTACAGATCTGAAAATTACAATACTGCATTTTCTCAAAACCTTAAAATGTGGCATAAGATAATTTGGTTCTATTGTGGTAAAGACGAAGACTGAAAAATTCTACTTTGAATGATAGTCAAACATGTTAAATAACATTGAACAAATCTTTCACCTGTGAATCCTGTTGAGTGTAGCCACCAAATCTCGAATTGAATTTTGCAATAGTATGTCGAAAATCTCGAGGCGTTAAATGTCTGTATTGACCACCCCATGATGCTTTCATAAGCATTGAAAAACCATCCGTAATTTCACCTCCTGATCCCAAGAAATTTTGCCTATAAATAACCATAAATTAGATATTGACCATAATGCACATATATATATAGGAATTTCCTGATTATCCCGCGGGAAAGAAAAGGCCTTTCATCCGATTATCATTCCAAGTCTGGTATAGGAATAGTCAATGAGTAGCCTACATTGTTTTGGATGCATGCACCGCATAAGTTCCATATTTCCTAAATACGAAAATCTTATCCCCTGTCAATTATCCGTAAGACCCAATGATTGTGGTTTAGATTTTAGACTTTTCCCGCCATCAAGTATTAAAAATTAGAGATTGATTACCAAGTTAGTTGCAAGTTAGCAAAACAATCTGTAGGTCTCATGACATGCCCAATATTGCTAGGATTTTCATGCTTATTCTAGTTGAAGACAGACAATCAGACAGTTCTAACATACAGCAAACAATCAAATTTACTGTAATATAAATAAAATGAAGAATACACACACACCTGTTAATGTGGTCTTTATATGTGTTCATTAGAAAATATTCGACGAGTAGAGTCGTATTGAACATGCATTGTAAAACTGAATTCATATAACATGTATTTCCCAGATTCATTAACCCACATAAACCAGGGCCTGATCCACCAGGGGCAGGATGGAGTCTATCAAGTTTCAAAGCAAAAATATTCGGATCATCTGGAACAGCTTGCGATTCAGGTGCTCTGTAGGGTTGGCATAAAGATGTATGATGAAAAAAGAATACAAAATGATAGTACTAAAATTCAGTTTAGTAGATAGTCAATTTTCACTTTATTCAGTCTTGAAGAAAATCTAGCCAACTGCGGTGTACCCTTTTAAATTTGGATTCCAAGCACTTTACCCAGGGTGTAAAAAATTGAGTAGGTAAAAAATGTTTAGCAGCACTGTAAAGTAAAATATTTATAAATCTATTTATATTTAATAAATCTATTTATTAGACAAACACATTTAAGGTTTTAAAATCCAAGCAATGACACTTTGCTTCCAACTCTAAAAGAGTATTTTTATCAATATAAACTTGTATGATATACCATGTTTCAAAATATAAAATAGTAAAACATAATAATAGTAATAATCAGGTAATATACCTTGGTTTATTCTCTCTATCTGGTATTGAAGGTTTTGGTTTGGCGTGGTCCGTTATTGGAGTATCGTCTTTGAGTTGAGCAATATTCGGTGAGGAGCTTGATCGTTTGAGGCCTCCATGAGTAGGAGCTGAATAATAGAGATATAAATAATAAAAACTAACAAAATGCCATAATGCCAAATATGATAACAATGAATGTTGAATGGACATTTTTTTGACTTTTATTAAGGATGAATGCCAAAATTGTTAAACTTGTAATTATTATGTGTATGACAGCAGGATTAGGATTTACATATTTATCCTAGAAGAGCAGAGATGATAAGACAGCCCAATTGTGTGGCGAACAACGGCGTCTCGTCCTGTTACCAGTTCATGTCGGTTATGGGATTAGTTATCCAGTTAGCTGTTTCAGATTCGTGGTAAATAAAAAATAGAAAGCCATTTTACTATTAATCATTAAATAACAAATGATTTGTTTGTTTTTGTGTAATGACGTATTGTAAAGACTGTTGACAAACGTTGCTGACCTCAGAACTATAATATACAGATACCTATCTAGAATATTGTATCATGAATCATGATAAATGTCTATTATTTTTAAATGTTTAACTCTATGAATAAGAAGTGTTGTGAAGTATAAATTGATAATTTTTAAATGTCAAGTCTTATATGCTTTCAATTTCTGGCAAGCAAAACAACAGCTTCCACGATAAAAAACACAAAATATATGTACATTACAAATTGAGAGATATAAATCGACCTTACCCTGTGCATTTCGGGAAGGAATCGAACCGATGGTAAATGGTAATATTATATTGTAAATCTCAAAAACTTAACTAATGGTACAGGTACATTTTGAAATACTGTAAAAATCCCAGAGTACAATCACAAAGCCAAAGTATTGGAAAATTCAATTCACAAAAGCTCCAGATATATTTATGTAAAGCAGGGGGTGTGCAACATTTTTTGTTGGCGGGCCATATAAACATCTTCAGACATCTAAATGGGCCACACAAAAAATTTAGTTTATCCGTGTACACAAAGAATTAAAAACATTATCACAATGAAAGATTCAACGCATCGACAAGAGTAAAAAAACATGTAATTCTACCCTTGTGACTGTGAGTGCCTCTTTATTAAACATAAACTGTCAGATTATGATTTCATGTTTGATGGGGAAAAATCTGAGTGTTGACAAGGGCCACACTAAATGGCTTGGCAGGCCGGTTTGTGGCCCACGAGCCACCTGCTGCACATCCCAATCTCTAACTCTCATTATAATTTGTAACGTACCTCAATGAACAACTCAACCTTTTTTACCCGCCCACGCTTAACTTAGATAAACCGAAGAAAAATTCTGAAATAACGTTAATTCCAATTCTACAGCTATCCTTTCACCTTACACACAGTCTCTACGCAAATCCTCGCCTATCAAGTTTCGTTTCACCCTGCAAAAATATCACTGATGGCGTTGTTCCATAGACCATAATACATATGCCAAAGAGAAGTTTCAAATCCTTACCAAAACTAACAAAGAGTATAAAGACACAATGACTGAAACACAATGGTAACTAAAAGTGAAGATCTCACACAATAGCATCTAAAAATCATTTCAAAAATCTTTAGAATTGAACGACTATCAACTGAAACTGCAGTGCAGAAAAGGCTACACTTATGACACAATTTTAAATCAAATATTTACTAAACTAACAAATATCTTTTAAAAAAGAAGATATCTTCTAAATATAAATTCTGTTAGAATATCAGCTACCTGAACAGATAAAATGATTTTTCACATTTACTACAATATTTATATTGTAGTAAATTTGAGAAATCATCACTCTATCAAACAACAACCTACTACTAGTCAAACAAGGTTATCATCAATACAGTAATGTATTATTAATAAAAGCATAACATATTGATATATTGGGGATTAGTTATTCATTGAAGCAAACATTAACGTAATACATCTTAAAATTAATAATTATAAATTGCTTTTAATATATTATCAGAAGATGGTCAATAATTGAACACGATGAAGACCAACTAGAAAGATATTTCCAATGTTAGGAATATGATTTGTTAAATAAAATTGATATTGCATTTGATATGGGTGCCAAAAATGATAATTGGCCTACATAAGGATCGTTTTGTTAATGTGTTGTTGTTTATTATGCTAGTATTCCTTATCTTGTTGTTATAATGAAAAAAAAATCGCATTTCTCATTAACAACTGGACCAATTGCTTCAGAATTTTTAGTGGTTGAAGATTGTATTTTTCGATACAAGGCTATTACTTTTGATTATTTTTAAAAATTTTTGTGGGCTCTATGGGATTTGTTTTTGTGTGCAATGACGCCATAAAAAATTGTGCATTTTGTGGGGATTCCACATTAGCGTGAGTTACTGTATCATGGTGGTCAGGTGGAGTCGTTGAAAACTGTGGTACCAGTAATCTACTGTGAAAGATTGCATGCCTGCACTATTTCGTTTTGACCCTCGTGTCCATATACTTGAGCATCGTACTCTTGTTTCAAGAAAGATTTCCCGAGTTGGGTCCACAGGGCGGTTCTCTGGGAACCACGAGCAAAGTCCCTCACAAGATACCATTCGCAATAAATGCCTTAATTGTAAGTTAAATTAACTGTGATTTGTTTAATTCCTTGACGGTAATGTATTCCCGTTTGTTGGCTTTCTTATGATTAATAGTGGCAGATGAAATAACTGACGGAAAGCGAAACTTGGTATTTTTATTAAAGGCCACAGAGTGTTGGGAGTCCCTGGAAATAAACCGCAATGAGTGGGAGTAATACTAGTTCAAACAAAATTAATGCGAATCAAAAAGATATTTTAGAGCGTCTGCAATGACTTTTTAATCACACGAAAAAAAAATTGACTCCCAAAGCCTTGCAACCTAAATATTTCAGAGCAATTTTTTTATTTCAAAATTTATTTATTCAACTTAAACTAACTAAAAAAGCAATACTCGGTAGGAAACACAAGTATATATCTGGTATATCGTTGTTAGTCGTCATCCTATCTTTACTTGATGTTAATTTGCCTTTGTTTAAAACTTTTAATAACAACTAGCTCATCACATGATGTCACACTTCTTCATCTTACTAAATCTCTTCTACATCAGACTCAATTTAGTATTTTTATTCTCAGAATAGCTTCCTCAAAATTTCTAATCTCAGTACACAACAAATGCAACAACACTTTCTGGAACAACTCAAATGGGAAGTATAGAAGCAACAAATTTTTAAAATACAGAGAATATTAACTATCATTAAAAATATTACCAGTATTTTCATCACGAAGTGGAGCCTTTGTAATTGTCGATGCAACATTATTCGGTAACGTCCAGTGTGTAGTTTTAGTTTTATGATCCAAATAAAAATATCTTCCCGTTTGTCTGTCTAATCTCTAAAAATAGAGAAAAAGCAATGAACAAATATTGATAAATATAACTCTTAAATTTGTAAGCATATCGATGGAACAGACCACAATTAAACAAATTTCAATACAATGATTCATTCTTATTGAATCAGATTCCGAATTTGAAATTATGCTTTCGAGCAAGTGGATCTGTATGCATGAATGCATGATCATTCTATTTAAATCAAGAAACATTTGTGTTACTCTGTAGCAAGACTCTCGAATCGACGGTGTGGCACATTGTGGTAAGCGTTAGGAATCTGCTCGCCACCGCACCTCTGATTGGCCTGCGTTGATTTGCAGGTTCGATTCCTGTTGGGAATAATAAAGGAATGCTGGACTTTCCATCTGAAACAAATAACTGGCTAACTAACCCCATACCCGGCATGGTAACCAGACGAGAGGATATGGTTTATCGATTTATACGATTAGGTCATCCATCGGCTTTCTTTTCCCCTGGGATGATGAATATGTAAATCCTATCCCCTATCATACAATTTATGTTAAATTTTACTGAGAGAAATTTGGCAAATCAAGATGTTTTTACAAAAATAAATCTCTCCAGACTATGGTAACACCGTTCTCTACACTTTTTATACTAACCTTCTCCCAACTAAGTGGTAGATTAGTTGAACCTTGTCTTTTCAATGGATCGGACGGAGGAAGTTGAGGCAAGTCTGTGAAAAATAATAAAATATGTATTGAATAAATTACAATTATTAAGTATAGAATATTTAGAAATCCGGATGTAATGGAATGACAACTAAAATGAAAATAAAATATATTATGAGTTTATGACTTCGCTTTGTTTTCAAATGTACCTAGTTAATAATAGAATATAAAGTTAGTTATTCATCATAGCTAAAAATATTCTAGAATTCTAAACAAGTTTTCATTCAAATAAATCTGGGCTGGAATGTATGAAGATGGGCATGTTTCAATGATGATATTGGAATCAGAGCTGAAGTCGTTTGAACTCCTCAGATTTAGTGGAAATCAAAAAATCAATGAAAGGTCAAAATTCGTTCCCCCCCAAGAGTCTGAAACTGAAGCCGGGCCAAGTATGTTCAATCTGGAGTCTGTTTTATAAATGTCTCAAAGTATTGAATCAGAGTTGTTTTTCAAATTTCTCACTAGTGTAGGAGTAAAGTACTCAGACAATTTCTATATTCGCTCATAAAAATTTTATTAATGACTTTTTTTTTACAACATACCTCTGCTTATAGGAGCCTTCACTGTTGGTTTTGGTTTTGCTTTGAACTTCTCTGCTGTATCATTAGTCTTTATTAATTTTTTTTGTGGCGCGATATCCTTCGGTTTCGGTGTAATTGGTTTTGGTGTAACTTTCGGCTCTGGTTTGATTACTGCTGGCTTGTCTTCTTTGATTGTTGACGTAGGAGGAACAGTAGGCTGAGGGGCATGGGTAACGGCATCTGATTTATCGACGACCACCAATTTTTCAGGTTTATTTGTCGGTGGGATTTCATCTTTTCGAGGACCGGCGTCTAAATTTTTTTGTTGATCAGGAGTTTTTATAGCATCATCTTTTTTGTTTGCAACCACACTCGCTACAGGTTTTCTATCTCTTGGAATTGCAGGTGTTGGGATTTTCTCTGGCGGCTTCACTATAACTGGTTTTGGTGTTGGTGGAGATTCTGGAGTGTTTTTATTCTGATCAACGCTATTGGTTTCCTTAGGTACATCAACAGGTGTTGTTTCCTTAACTACTTTTGTTGGCTCATTTTTGCGTATGTTCTGAAAATGAATTAAGTATATTGTTACAATTTTATCAAATAAAACGACACAAACTGAAGGTGTAGTTATACGAAAACCAAGCAAGTTTCGATATTTAGTTGAAAAATCCATCTCAGATTCAATGGCTCAAAAATCTTGCATCATATGCTACTTGATGGCAAAATTTGGCCTATGTGATAATTTTGTCATGCAATCGATCAATTTAGTATAATCAAAATAAATGAAATCATAAAATACCATATACCGTATTTTATGGATAACTTAATCCCTTTTTTATCTTAAAAATCGATTGTGCACCTAATGTGTGGATCAGGTTGTGCTTTATGCTTTATTGCCTATACTCAAAACCAGTACCAGTACCGTTTTATATCCTGGTGCGCCTTTTATATGGATAAAACCCTGATTTGTTGACGACGGGAATGTCTTCAGATATGAAAGTATTCAGGCATATCAAAGCGACCAAGATTTCAATATTACTTTCACATATTGAGCTATTTGTCATTGAAATTTGGTTTACATTTTTATTTTAACATAACATACCAAATTGACCCAAACCAATCCAAAATGAAGATAAGGACATGGAAAGATCTTTTCAAAATTCTTTCCAACTAAATCATCTTACCCTCATTAGATCTGCAACTTCCTTTTCAGCATTTTTTCTTTGTCTTTCTTGTTCTTCCGCCTCTTCTTTTAATTGTCTTTCATATGCCTCAATCTTTAGCAATCTAGGAGCAAAAATACTGCATAGTAAATTATATACAGAGAAAGATAGTGTTTTTAGATCTATTTTTTAAAATAAAACTAACATAATACCAATCAAACACAAAAACTTATCAAGACATGGATACACCAAAACAGGAGTGGGACCTACTTTGCCACATAAAAGAGATATTATATTGTGTTGCATGTAGGAACATAATTTGGATAGCCAGACATTGCATGCTCATACATTTGTATGCATTGACTGGTGTATTAGTGCCAATCGGGATAAATATTGAAAAATTTAAAATGATTCAATTTGTCCGTAACAGTTACTGGTTATACACTGTCTCAGAAAAATAAATTTATCAATAGGATGTATTCAGAGGTAAGCCATTATCGTAGCTATAAAAATGAAATTATTTTTTCGCCCATTATTTCCCGCTAATATGTGATGGAGTTATCAAGTTTGCAACCCTTGCGCTCTTCAAGTGACATGATTTTGTTGCAACATGGTTGTACAATCGAAAAACAAGCAGAAGAGAAACAGCTAAATTTTGTCCTTCAGCTGAATTCCTGAATTTACTTACTTTTTCTTGTCTTCCAATTCTTTTGTTTTCCTTTCATCTTCTTCTTTCTTTTTCTTAATCATTTCAATTCTATCGATAGACGCAGCTGCTTTAGCAGAAATTTGAGAAAACTCACTAAAAACAGATACAGAAGAGCTTCAAAGAAATTATCAGATGTGTAATGAATCGAATATTTGAAATTGGTGATATTCGATATAGTAAATATAATCCTTTAGGAAAAATTTAAATAGGATGGAACAGAATTTACATATTTATCCCGGGGAGATAAAAACCGATTAGATGGCTTAATCATATGAGAACCACGGCCTCTCGCCCGGTTACTAGTCCATGTTGGATATGGAATTAGTTGCCAGTTATTTGTTTTCAAAAACATGGATTTAATGGTGGAAGAAGCTGTAACCGACTAGCAGTTATGTGAAACGCCCTAGACTTTGGGAAGAATTCAGAATATTTTCATTTCAAATGTTTATCATTTGAAATTTCATGGTCAGGGCATAAAATGACTGTTCCTTCAACCTATTTTATTATTTTACTATAATATGACAGATAAAAAAAAAGTGACAAAAATTTTATAGAATTTTTTAGAATTTGTTAAGTCTCAAGGTCCCCCTCAAAAATAACCAGCTAACAAAAAGCTACAAATAACAGATAGTGTGGCGAAAGCATGTTTTACTCAGAAAACAGGTTGAAAATACATGGATGGAACATAAATACCCAAAATGAAAAAAAAAGAAAAAAATGAAGAATATGACGGGTAAGGTCAATCAACTTCACGTTCCCCCCAAAATTGTCTACGCCCCCCTTTGGGGGCACGCCCCACCGTTTGAGAACCACTGTCCTAGATAGTGATTCGATAGATAGACTACTGTAAAATATCAAGATGACTACCGGTACAACAGTACTGTATATATATTTAGTGTTGTTACAGTTAGATTTCATTTATTTATTGTAAACTCAATAATATATTATATATAACTTAATCTTATAATACAGTTAATCTTATGATAAAAAGAAAGTATTTTTTGAAGATAATCATATAAAATGAAACTTAGCTTTTTATACCAAATTTGTCAAAGCTAAATAACTAACTAACACTGCTACTCGAGGGGTTTAAGCATCCTAAATGACAGTATTATATATTATTTTTAGAAAAATTTCATTACCTCTCAGAATTATTCGATGATGAAGGAGTTTTCGTTCCATTAACAAAAGAAGCAGGAGGCCAATCTTTAACCCCGACAGAACTATCAACATCCATAATGTTCTTTGCTTTACTGATTTCAGTCTGTGGCTTCAAGTTACGACTTGGCATACTAGGTTTTTTGCTTCTATCAACAGCTGGAATGTTTTTCTGTTGGAATAAAATAAACTGTGCATTAATCTAGAGCAGAGTTGGGCCCTCAAACTGTGTTCTTAACCCCCAAAGTGGATCACCGATGGCCACGAGCAAGTGCCTTTAGTCGACACTATTAGCAATGACTACATGAATTTAAGTACCGGTAAATGAACTGCGATTCGTTAAATTGTTTAATAAAAATTCATTTATTCATTTATTTTCAATTGTTGTCTTTATATCATAAAATGTGGCTATAAATACCTGATCATTAACTCGTTAAAAACAAAACTCGTTTTAATTTTTTCATGGAGGAATGGGGAGGGGGTCACAGAGTGCTCAGAGTCTTTGGATTATAAAAGTTCGAGTAATATTGACTAAGAGATCAATTTTAATTAGGATAAGTAGGATTTAGGAGTATTAGGTCTATTATTATTATTACTTAGGCCTACTTTTTATAATTAGTAATATATATTATACAATAATTAATAATATTAGACAAGCACAGATCAATACTGAATAGATTCGGATAACAATTTTTATTAAAAGGTTGCCAGACTTCACTGAGAGGCAACAAGAAAGACAATGTCAACCATTATCAAATTCTACTAAAACGGGGGTTCAAATGGCAAATTTCACAGTGCAGTGAAACACAGTCATTTGTATTCTTCGAAACAAACTCTCAACAAAATTAAATATATCGAGCATTGTTCTATTGTTTTGGAACATGAGTTATAGAAGTTGTCAAGTTTGACTAGTGGTTACCAAAAATCAGTGTGCGATAAAAATGATTCAATAAAACACACCTTCCCAATTCCATTGGCAATCGTCGATGCAGTCGGTTTAGCAGAATCTGTGATATCGTTTTGAGAATTCTCAGCGGAACTAAGAAAAGACAAAAAATTAAAATGAATCATGAACGAAACGAAACAACAAGAAGCAATGTGCAATTTACTCCTATTTTGATAAATTGTGTAGGCTATATTAGCCCAAAAAAATCTGGCCTTTTTGAAACATAGCTATATGTAAATGACTGGTTACTTATAGCATGACTTCTTCGAAGGAATTTTTTGTCAAATATTGCAAATGAAATTTGTCACAACAAGCATAAATATTCTCAAAATCATACTGTCTTGTATGTGTTGTTAATTAAAAAAATAAAATATCAATTATCTATGGCCAATGTCTGAAATTTACCAGTTTATTTCCCATCACAAATTATATTTTTATAGTAAAATTTTGAAGAGCATTAGTTCTGAATCAAAGACTTTTCTACCTACCTTTCAGTTTTCTTTGATGACAGATTGACATTCTGAGGCACACTGGGATACAAGTTATTTATAGCAGGGCTTGTAGGATCAGGTGTCTATGAGATAAAGACAGAATCGTCAAAAAAAAGAGCAATGCTCAAATATATTGGAATATGAGAAGTACAAATGTCGAACAGTGTTTTCATCCTATAAAGTGGTGGGTTGCTATGAATATTATGTGGTTTAGTAGCGTTTTAGAGCTCTTTCAAAAATATAAAGTACGGTTAATAAAACCTGCATAAACGTATTAAAATAAAAATCCTTGATTTGTTAAATGATTTTCAAATTCACAAACCTTGACTACAGATTCACTTTTTCCAACTTCCCCTAAAACTTCTGCATCATCCCAATCTTTACTGTCTGAATCTTTTTCTTCATTATTTATAGAACTCTTATCAACTTGCTTAGGTGGTGTCAATGGTAGTAAATCGTTGAAATGAAAATCAGCTGAAATAAAAATAAGATAACAATGCTCAAATATATGGATAGAAGCAAAATCTCAAAGTCAAGTTAAAAAAAATTGAAATGAAAGTGTAATTGTGCATTATGAAATATATGCAAAATTCAATTGAAATATCTGGCACCATATGACTCGTAGAAAATTTGGAACATAAGATCACTTTGTGTTAAAAAATTACAAAACTCACTATTATATTTACCAATATGAGAATCATCCTTTTGTTTGACATTTTTAGTCCAGTTTAAGCCAATTTTCTACTTATAACATTAAAAATTTCGATCCACTTTCAGACCACTAACTGGCTCTACTTAGAGACTAAATAGTTTATTTATTGAAAGTAAAAATAATGTTTTTTTACTGAGGCTTGTAACACTTGTAATTTTTCTCGTTTGTAGAGTCGGTCGAGCAACTTTTGAATTTGTTGAGAATTGGGGATAATAATCCAACCAATCAATATAACCACCAGTGAGAACAACAGGATTACGTTTCAGAAAAATTTCTTGCTCCCACTGAAATAAATATTCATAATTATTATATATTGTATTTTACAGACCATAAGGCGAACCGGGAATTTAAAGATGAGACGCATCAGGTTATGAAACGCACTGTCGATAAATTGTTCAGGTTGGATTTTTATCCATACATAAGGTGCGACGCAATGTAGTTTATTGCAGAAGACGTCATAGGCAATAAAGTCTTAATACCACACATAAGACGCACAGAGTTATAAGGCGTGCAAGAGAAACTGAGAAAAAAGGGATTTAGGGATTGGGCGCACTGTCAATTAATTGCTCAGATTGGGTTTTTACCTATTCTATAAAGCAGCGGTTCCCAAACTATGGGTCGCGACCCACTGGTGGGTCGCAAAAGGAATCTTAGTGGGTCGTGAAAAGATGTAGAAAGTTTTGATTAATTATACTGGTTATATGGATCGGTGGCGACTCGAATACGTAAATCTGCAAAAAAACAAAAGAAATTGAATTTAAATTCTAATCTGTGGAAGTTTCCTTTTTATGATCTTCTCAAAAGAACATAAACTTGATAAACAAAGAATGACCATGTGGCTTTTTTACGCATAGCAGTTTTGTACACTGTACAGCACTTCTTACCATGTTTCCCCGGAATTTAGACAGGATTTAGATTTATTTTCTTTTGAAGAACAACACTATGGTTTTTTTTTGGAAGAGGTCTTTTGTGTTCATTTATCAAAAATAAAATTACATTGTAGAAAATCACGAAAATTTTAAATAAACATTATATAAAAACCGATATCCATTGTTTTTATTTGTATTTCCTATACAAAAATCAAGTGACAAATTTCATGATTGTGATGGTGACATCACACAATCTTGAATAGTGGTGGGATCTTCACCTCACCTCAGGCCATTGAACCTTTCCTCTACCACACATTTTAAATTTATTTTAAGGGTAGGGTTTTATTAAAATCATTTTTAAAATTCAAATTAGGTCTTATTTTCAGGCCAGGTCTTATTTTCGAGGAAACACGGTAGTTCTGCAATAATTAGCCATTGCTGTATTTTGTGTTATGTCATAAAAAGGTAAATGGGTCGCCATAATTTGTGGTAATAAATAGTGGGTCCCAACTCTAAAAAGTTTGGGAACCACTGCTATAAAGCGTAGTTTATTGCATAAAACATCCTAGGCAATAAAGCACTCACTACCTCACTATAAGATGCGCCGGGTTATAAGAAGAGAAAAAAGAGATTTGAAGCAAGCCTTATGGTCGGCAAAATATGGTACAGGTAAATCAAGTTGAAAAGAATACTCAAACTAATAAAGTTAACTACAAATATATCAATATGTAGTAATGCTGTTTCCTTTATCTTCATACACTATTTATATTTGAAGCTAAATCTCAAAAATCTATATGTATGCAAATCCATTATTGGAATTCTCAGGATTTTTGGTTACTTCATTTTAATTTTGTTTCAAATTGGTATTTGTATAAACTTATAACAGAAATGCTTATTTTCAACGAAATTTCTTTCTTTTTATATGACCCCGATTCAGGGTGTTTGCTCCGAACATCGATAACTAATAACACGTAAAAAGCTACTAATTGCAAAAGGACCGAAATCTTACCGGTGCAATGCCAACACAGTTAAGTCTAACGCTTTTAACCACTGGGTCATGCACCTTTCTAATTCATCGAAATTGAAAACGTTTCATATGGAACAATGTTGACTTAATGTAGTTTGAATTGATATATTATGTATCCAAAAAGTAGCACATCATCAACCTTCACAAGAGCATCGTTTAAACTTCTGAGAGGATCTTTCAAATCATCCAAACGTTTCAAGGTCCCGTTCCAATCAATCATAACGATAATATCTGGAATTGCCCGGTTTTTCCATTTATCCAAGTGGTCAATATTAGTGATTCCTTCCTCGATTCTCTTACAAACTGTGCTGTAAGTAGAAAAGAAGAAATTGTTACGAATCTGACACAAAATTACGTCATAATAAAAACTGTTTTTATTCATCATAAAATTCAATAATATCTACACTGGTCAACTGATATCGGTAGCCTACATCTCATAGCCACAGAAGCATTTAATATACACAGTCAAAACTCAAACAATTCGGTAGACGGTAGTAGACCAAAAAATGAGAGTCAAAAACGCTGCGGAACTCGAACGAAAACTCAGAGCTCTCGGCTGCCTCTCGACCATTTAACAAGCATCAGTTCCAGTCAGAATGTATAACATGTGTTGACAATTTTTTATGGTTTAGTCATAATTGCGATTGCTTGCATTTTTTGTCGTTGATCATGGCTCCAAAGAAAAATAGTTATAATGCCAACGAGAAGAGGAAAACAGAACTATTGAGTCTAAAAATGAAAGCATTTATAAAAGTTTACTTAGAATGTAGCACTAGACAAGCATATAGTGAATAGGATAACGATATTATAAAAAGGTAATACTTACCCAGGTTTAATATGGGTTTTCGGAACATTTATGCAATCTGGATGTCTTATACACGACTCTTGAAATTCATCAGAAGTCCTAATATCAAGCATCAACACATCCAATTTGGTTGAAAATAAAATTTCATGTAGTTTTTCACAGGAAATATCTTTTGCATCTTTCGGAACAACTGACGGATTTTGTACAACTGTATTTGATTGTTTCACAGTGGTATCAACACCATTCGATTTGGGTGTGTTAACTGATTTTGGTAAAATAGTACCCTGAAAACAGAAATGTATAGGTATTAACCATTTTATTCCTGCGGAGTTGAAGATAATTCATAAACGAATCTGATTTAAGGCTACTAAAACTCATCAAAATCAAATTCGTAAAAAATTTCAACTTCCGACTCTAGCTCCCAGAAAATCAAATTGTCATGCAAGCCTTCTTTAGTAGCCTGTTAAGAACACTTCTTTTTCGAGTTTTAGTTGGATAAGATAGAATTTACAGAATTATCCTGGGGTGAGAAAAGCCGATAAGATGGCTTAATCATATGGCAAACCCACAACCTCTCGTCCGGTTACCAGTCCATGTCGGGTATGGGATAGACGCGATCGAACACATTTACTTGAACCACCCTGCGTAATCCAGCAATTCGCCTGTACATAAATATTGCCCATAAGTATTGAACCTGCGAACCAATGCGGGGTAATCAGAGGTGCATGGCGAGCATATTCCTAATGCTTAGCACGTTGTCCACACCGTCGGGCTGTGAATTAGGAATCTAGACATTTATCACCATTAAAATTCTGCTATTCCAACACTGACTCCAGAAACTTCAGAATTTAGACTTCTACTCCAGTTGCTAGGAGTTTGAAAATCTGACTCGGGTCCAGTAAAACATCCCGAAATACCAAATCCCCAGTCCTTGTATCCACTTGCATAGACTCTACCTTTTTTCTATTTTGTTTCATAAGTCATCTTCATATGCAATAATACTATACAAAAACAACTCACATTTTTTTCCCCTGAATCTTTAGATGTTTCATCAGCTTTAGATGGTTCAGAACCATTTTTTAAATCTTCATATCTATGTGAATAAAATGCTTGTTTGGTAAGTTAAACTATATTCTAGAGGTCGGCAATCATTTTGGAATAATATTTGATTTAGGGATTAATTTAATATTCTTAATAAGGTTATTTACTTAATTATGTTATCATAATGCAATATAAATTAGAAGGGATATGTAATGATATATTTCTCTTTGATTATTTTATGAACCAAATTATATTGTGTACAAAATAAACAACGGTTTATGACGATAAATAATAATGACCTTTTTCTCAAGCTGCAAGACAGTTTTTCTGCATGATCAATAGCCTCTGCAAATTTTTTTGTTCCCAGAAGAAGAGAGTAATGTCCTGAATCTTTCTTGAAGTCTTGTGATGCTCTCACTTTTTGAAATATATCCAGGTACCTGAAAAATTAGTATGTAAAATGAGATTTTGAACTGTGTTGTGAATGGAAAATTGCAGTCTGAAAACGAATCATTTTTTTATTTATCTGATAAACAGTCGTAAGTAATAATACATTAAATTATTTTCTTAAACTTAACAACGAAATTTTACCCAATTTTGAATAGGTTACCGTAGATATTACCTATTTGAAAAAATTATATTAAAATGCATTTAAAAAAGTATGTTAATCGGTTTTAGCAATTCCAGTACCGAAAAAAATTATATCAAATTTCTCCAAACTTTTTCTTATTTTTTATTTCTAATTAAACACCATATAAAAATTGAAGTCAATCCCTGATACCCCCGTAAAAATACTTTTTTTTGAATAGATTAAATAATTTACCTCATGTACAAAATATATCCTCTTTCTTCATCTCCGTTCAGACGAGCTGCTTCAGCAGCTTGGAATGTTTTATCACTGTGATTTATATGGCTGAAATATAAAAGTATATAATATTGTAAAATCAAGATGACTATTTAGAACAGGGTTCTCCAAACTGGGGGTCCCGAACCACTAGTGGGTTGTGAAATGACTCGATGGGGTTTGCGGTAAATTCTTTTCTGACACTAACTTATATTAGAACAACATATTGATCAAATTTGAAAGAGTTGGAACCAGTAATGAGACCCACCATCACCAATCTTTTGTGCAAACATATCCGTCTTATTGAAGGTATTGTCAATGTTATTATTATTATTATTTAATATTTTTTGTACTATTAAATTTTATTTTATTTTTATTTTAGTTTCTGAAAGTCACAAAAAAATTTGGTCGTCCCAAGTGGATCGTGATGAAAAAAGTTTGAAGAACACTGATTTAGAAGATACACTTATGTTTAATGATAATTAAATTTTAATGCAATAGGCTACTACATTTTTAAATGATGCTTATTAGAAATCGCTGCATTAAAAATCACTCTTTTTGCAAAATGAGCGAATTGAATTTAAAATCACTTGATATTGAGATTAGAAGGGACAAAATTTTAGAAATAAAAATTACAAATTTCCCAAGAGGAGAAAAAAACAAGAAATATTAAACAACAAAAAAATTACCATATACAGCTGTACAGACACATACGGTACTTACATTTTTATGCTTCTACCTCTGTCAAAATCATATTTTCCTTTTTTATTCAATTCCCCGATAGATGATCCAATGTATAGCTTTTTCTTCTCCATTTCAACAATTATTAGATAATTTTGAATTCAGTCAGAAACTAATCACAGACTGCATATTCATTATTTGCAGTGTTAGGTTTATTGATTTACAATATAAGCTAAAAAAGGCATCTCATGTAAGTTTTATATATAATTAGTGTATTATTCTGATATTGATTATCTAGACCAGCGGTTCCCAAACTATGGGTCGCGACCCACTGGTGGGTCGCAAAAGGAATCTTAGTGGGTCGTGAAAAGATGTAGAAAGCTTTGGGTAATTGTACTGGTTATTAGGATCGGTGGCGACTCGAATACATAAATCTTCAAGAAAACAAAAGAAATTAAATTGAATTTAAATTCTAATCTGTGAAAGTTTCCTTTTTAGGATCTTCTCAAAGCAACAAAAATTTGCTACTCAAAGAATGACCATGTGGCTTTTTACGCATAGCAGTTTTGTACACTGTACAGCACTTCTTACCGTGTTTCCCCGAAATTTAGACAGAATTTAGAGTTATTTTTATTTGAAGAATAACACTGTTTTTTTTTGAAAGAGGTCTTTTGCGTTCATTTATCAAAAATAAAATTACATTGTAGAAAATCACAAGATTTTTTACTAAACATTATATAAAAATCGACATCCATTGTTTTTATTTGTATTTTCTATACAAAAATCAAGTGACAAATATCATAATTGTGATATCACACAATCTTGAATAGTGGTGTGATCTTCACCTTACCTCAGGCCAAAGCGTATATATAATATAAGCGAGGCAACGCTCAGACAATGGACGCCCATTGTTCTCGGCAATTCAACACAGCGCCTTATGATAAGTTCCAACACAATTATTGAAACATACCTATTATTTTCACTAATATTTTAGGTAGAAAAATTTTGAAAGTCGCGTTTTGAATTAGAATCTTAGTTGTACATGCTTCTATCCTTTCATGTTGGCCAAATTACATTTATAGTACATTAAATTGTCTTTGAAGACAAGTATACCAGGTTGCTTCCGAAGTAAATTGGCCACTCCAATTGTCATGATTAACCATTTGACAATTGCGTTCCTTATGACGTCACAGATGAAAAGTTGTATTTATTTGTCAAAATTACCGGCCGACCCAACGGCTTCAATGGCCGTTTCTATTTTATGGTTAACATTTTTTGTCTGTCAAGCTCCATAATGCCCTACTGCTCAGCTCCAAGCTGCACTAGAAGAACAAATGACATTGTAGGATTGTTGCGCAGAGATTTTACAGCCTCAAATTGGCGTATCACTATAGAATCTTTGAAAAAATGACCAAAAATGGGTCTACGCTGTGTTTGTGGTCAAATTTAGCGCATTAGATAGTTTTTTACTCTTAATTGCGTTATATATTTAGATAGCATATGTCTTAAAATTCAAAAGCCACCCTTCAGTTTCATTCTAGCCCTTATAACAGCGGACTTATTCGATTCGGTACAACAACACGACAAAAATTTCCCATAAGACTCCATTGTTTCGCGTTTCCCAAATATGGCACAAGATGGCGTCCATGGACTTGTTTAACATTAGGCAAGTTGGTTGCAGGCCAATGAACCTTTCCTCTCCCACACATTTTAAAATTTATTTTAAGGGTAGGGTTTAAATAAAATCATTTTGAAAAATCAAATTATTATCTTATTTTCAGGTCAGGTCTTATTTTCGAGGAAACACAGTAGTTTTGCGATAATTAGCCATTGCTGTGTTCTGTGTTATGTCATGAAAAAAACAAAAGAAAATTAAAGTTAGGTGGGTCGCCATAAGCTATGGTAATAAATAGTGGGTCCCGACTCTAAAAAGTTTGGGAGCCACTGATCTAGACAAGTGTTTCTCAACCGCGACTACAGGACTAGGCTACAGGCAGACAGTGCTATATCATTACAGCATTACTGCATTATGAAAATTTGAAGCTAGCTATTGCCTATTGTTATAGTCTATCAGTATATCTGTAAATATAACTTATTGCTGGAGAATGCATCCATCACAATTGCGCCTCACTTTTTCAGCCTTCAGAATTAAAAGTCAGCGTCAATATCAAATTTTGCTGCTTTTTAAATTTTTATCGTTTTTATGCGGCTTCTTGCAACTTTTAAGGTTTGAAATTTGGCTCTGATACTAAAAAAAGTTGAAAACCACTGATCTAGACTATTAAATTATTTATTTTTTATAATGGTTCTACAATGTTAGAATGTGGATTATTTAATAACAGAAATATTAGATACAGAAATAAAATAATTATGAATGAAGACATATATTGGAATACAATACAATACAATACAATTTTATTTCGATCTTTCGTCTACAACACAAATAAAAAGAACACAGAACAAGGTCAACTGAAAGATCGGGAAAACGGGCAAAACCTATATAAAGGTTTATAACGAACGCTGTAACCAGCGATTGTGCCCATTCACCCACATTCACACACGTGAAACACACCAAGACAATCATACTAGAATAAATTAATGAACAGAGTACATGATCACGAAAAAATAAATTTCACGGGCAAAGCTTACTTGTAATGTTGTAAATAATTTTGATGAGTGAAAGTCGTGAAGAATACAAAAACATTTAGAAGTTATGTGACGGTGCCTGTGCCGAAATGCGAATACCAATAATAACAATTAATTGATTAGCTGCTGTTTTTTTGTAAACAAACAAAACTAAAAAGTAAACAACAAACATAAAAACACGAAAACTAGTTTCGGGCGTTGCTTTGGTTCGAATTTGTAGAAATTGGAGTAAATGTTTTTATTCTTTGCAACGTCCAACATTCCGGAGCTTCCATCTTATTGTGTTGAACATCGATTGTTCCTATGAATTGTTTCTCTCGCATGAATTTACTGACCAATCCAGTGTCGGCAGCTAAGTCGATTATTCCTGTTTCCTCGAAGTCCCTTAGATTCAATCACTTGTTACAAGTGATCAACGCAGCAGCTCCAATGTATAAAAGCTAGTCTGTATTCAATCCTGTGTGTCCGGTTTTCCAACGGAATGAAAAGCAATGGAATGAAAAGCAAACAAACATAATGCATTAATAACATCAGAATATTTCCATAAAATGTAATATGTCAGTACCGGTATGTGTTTGGAACGAAATTACAGAATAAAAACCTACCGTAATACTGTATTACCGGTATCCAACTTACCCTATACTGGTATACGGTACGGTACCTAACTAACCAGCCAATTGCACTTATGCCATCAAAATGTCGCATTGGCGCCTCTTCGTGGTCTCGATGGCATTCGAGTACATTTTTTAACGATTTCTCACTGGAAGGGCCAATTCTTTTCATCAAATCGACTAACAACAGTATATAATTATGTAAATGGAAAACAGTATACGGTTGCTTGTCTATCGTGAACCGTGGATGAATTATTATAATTGCGTAACACTGTGTGTAATGCTTATTCGCCAAATACCAGGAAACATTTTCTCAAAAGATTTTTGGTTTTGGGACCCAGGGAAATCCCCTGGTGTAGAATTCAGAAATTATTTCTTTATCTGAGGTTCTTCTGTCTTTCTTTCAAAGTTGTATTGCAAGACATCTGGTTTTATAAACTTGTTTTTCAATATTTGGCGATGTGTAAGTCCGTGTTGGTAATAATTAATTTTATGTAATAATATATAATAAATTGTACATGAGGATAAGTTTATCTTATCAGTTTTTTGTTTCTGTAATTTCTGAATTTAGATTCTAGAACTTTGACTACCGGTACGTTTTCTGATAATTACCTTGCTTGAAATTGTTCGGGTATTGTTACAGTCTTTTATTTTTTATATTGTCGCAGCAATTTAACTTTTTTATCTGCTAATGCCCCTATTTACTCTTCAAAATGATTATTTCTAATACATTTTTTAAACTTGATTCAAAGGAGTTATTAAACTTCTTTCAAAAGATATTTATTGAATTGTATTATACTTCAGTTAGGGTTTTTGAATAATTCATTTTATATTTGTGTGTATTAATATATTAGAATAACAGATTACCTCTTTTTCGATAGGCATTCACTTGCTAATTAAAGAATCCCATATACCGAGTGGAGGTGGTGACTCCTTTACGGCCCATTAGCTGGGGCCACGGCCCATCGAATTGGGCCTCGGCCCATCAGGCTATGGGCCGCGGTCCATCAAGTTGTCTAAAGGGACTATTCACGGGTCTTGTGTAGTTTCGTACCTAACATACTTCTAGTGGGCGTAGCATAAAAAAATTTTTGATATGTCAATTCTAACCCCCATCTGACTACGACATACAAAAATTAAATAACTACGACATCACAATCACGTCATAGAGCTTGCCAAATATACGCATGATCGACCGAAATGGCATTGGCGCTGACGATAAAGAACTGACTGATGTTATCGATCTCTCTCCTATCAGAATCGTAGTGACGAGAAAACGAAAGAAATAACTGTTCGATTTCGGGTGCTCGTTTACGCGTCTTGGATGGCAATTCGTATAGTTTGGAGGGCTCTATTACGTCACTGTGACGTCGAAATGAGGTAATTTTAGGATGGTGTAGTTAGGATTGATACGTGAAAAAATTGTCATGCTACGCCCACTAGAAGTATGTTAGGTAAGAAACTACATGAGACCCCTATTCACTTGGCTAACACAGACAGTCCCCGAACTTATAATAGAACTATAATGTGAAAAATCTGAACAAAATTTTGGTCCTAACCCTAACCTGGTACACATACTACTGAGTATTCTTTTCTGTTGCTTGGTATTTTGCTTTATTTTTATATAAAGGCTTATCGTAAGAAAAAAATTTGGTGCCATCCCGCGATTTTTTTCGGTTTGAATATTGACAATTTTGTGCAAATTGAAAATTTTGGTAAGATAATTGAATTTTTCCTGATGGGGCCGTGGCCCATCAAGCTATGTGGCCAAATTAGATGGGCCACGTCCCCAGCCCATAGACCGTAGACGAGTCACCACTCCTGTAGCATATACCAGTATACCCTTGCACATTTTTCAAAACAAACATATCGCATGTGTAGATATAAGATATGAAAATATTGGGATATCGAGTTTTTACTTTTTGAAATTGCTATTAGAGAAAAACAAAATTATAATGTCATTTCATCACGTTTAGTAACAAACATAGCTGTAAATAAAAATTGAAAGTTAAATAAATATAAAAGTTATTTCTAATTTATATGGCAGCATACGCTTATTTCATACGCATACGCCTGATTAAAAAAGATGAACAACACAAAAGTAGGGAGTTTTCTTTGTGCATTTGCTACAATAAAAATATTTTGATCCTTTATTTTAAATGACATAAATTAATTAAACAATAATAAAAATTTTGACAAAGAAATGGACAGAAAATTTCGAATATTATGGATGAAATTTGAGCTAATAATTACATGTGCGATTTTATTTTAGGCATATCTTGTTTTTCATAATGAAAACTAGGTAATTATGTTTTTTGAACTACTTATTTTTCACTTTTTATTAAGAGGGGATGTTATGGCCGCAATGTTTCTGTTTTTTTTTTAAACTTTTAAGGCAGTAAATAGAAAACAATCAGATGTAAGCATGCATGTTTGAAAAATTATTTGCAGCATCCTTACTGTTTTTCAGTATCAAAGCTATGTAGCTAGCAGTGGATAGCATTTGACTATATTATATTATCTCTGTAGTTCTATTTGTGTCAATGTTTACGATTTAATATATTTTTTTAAGGGGATTGATCTTGTACGACCTCTTTCGACATTTTGTATATTTGTTTTGTAAATTTTAAACCTTGCCCAAAGTTTTTCTCTCCTTATTCTGAATCAGTTTTTCTTCATTTTCATCAATTAATTGCATGTTATGTGAATTAATCAAATTTCTTCAAACTTTTCTTACTTTTATGCCACAGAGCCCATTCCTTGATCATGATACTTTATTTTGAGCAATAAGACTGTACATGATAGCATGATGTACAAGAATATCAGTCAACCGTTGGACAGCAATTCTCAGTTGATGAGGGCGAGGAATGTTCTTGAGACGCAAGTTCGACATGGGTCCACAAAGCGGGATAATGTTCAACATTTAGTTGATGATCTTTTACAGTTTGATCTACCTGTTCCTGCACGATACAAACATCTTGATGTTTTACGAATTTTGGAGGATAATTGTGGGGTAAAATAATTGTGTAGTATGATGATTATTGTATTGACACAAAGGTTGTGCTGATCGAATGAATATATTAGAATAAAAAAGGAAATTTGGCAGTGAAATCTAGCAGTTGATAGCTTCAATTCTATTTATGTACTGAAAATTTGATTCGTTTATCAGTTGAAAATAGCAATTTTTTTCCATCAACAACAAGCATTCTAATAAAACAACAATTTGACCAAACGGTGGTCAGGTATCCACAGGAGATTTTGATACTATTTTTTCAATGTCCTACAAGCAATTTTTCATCTGTTCTTTGTTAGTCTGGTTACTTAGGTTAGGCTATTGCGCTACCCCTGTCTCCGTCCAATGATAATACTAACTTATGCTAGCCTAACTTGAAAACAGATCAGAGAATATCTAATTGGTATTAACAGTACATATTCTATGTAAATAATTATAAAATTTAAATTATCTGTTAAATTTTTCAGAGAAATGGTCCTGGCCTCGGAGCACTTTTAAGAGGATTGAGTATATTGGAAAGATATGGAAAAAATTTATTACGCTCAGAACGACCCGCGCAATGGAGGGTTGTCAGATTATCGAACAATATATTCAAACTCGAAGTTGATATTGTTAGGGTAAAATGATAGTTTATATTTATCAACAATCGTAAATTCATCTAGTCTCATACTAAAATTAATAAAGAATTTATTGCTGATACTGTATAAAAGAAAATAATCCAAATATCTTTATTTAAGTCTAAGTCACAAGTTAATTATTAATCAATATGGACGCTTTGACGACCACACTTGACTACATACCCCTTATTGTATATAACCATATGTAATTATTGGGGCTAGATATTCGAATACCTGATGATTTCAGAATTGAATTGAATACTTTTTCTAAGTCGAATCTCGAATACTTGGAAATTATTCAATTGAATGTGACTTTTTTATTGTGATGGGTCCTCAATGCACATAAATTACTGAAACACAGAATCCATGACTCAGACAGTTTGAATAAGAAATATGTTTCATTAATAACTCACTAGAACAGCGTTTCCCAACCTTTTTTGGTCGAGGACTATCTTCTCACCGGCGAAAACCTTTGCGGACTCAAGGTGCGTTTATTGCAACCGTACTCTGTGTGAAGAAGCAATAAAACCAAACACAACGGAATTTGAACGAATTCCAAAATCGGAAATTTGCCGCAATTACGCGTCCGTTAAAAGAGCCGACTTTTTTAGTGTATAATGGCCTCTTCTGTCGCACTATATTCAATCCATGACAACGACGAGAATTTAAAATGTCTTTCTATTTTAATTGGGTTCATGGTAACTCGCGATTACGTTGACTTACGACAAGATGATAGCATTACTTCTTTAAAATGCCACAGCAATCTGCTGACATATTGCCCGATTATATTTAGTGTTGATACATATTTTTAGAGATTTTGCAAATTTTTATAGTCGTTAGAAAAATCCTACCATCTGCTATAAATTTCCTGAAAGTACAACTTGATTTAGTGCTTATTAAAATATATTTAAAGTATAATAGTAAATCAAAACTACATATTCACCGCCTTGCTTTATTATCAATTTAATGGTGATCTTTTTAATCTGCGGCTGTGTTGACGAAATAAAAGCAATAGGCTACTAATCAGAAAATATCATGAGAATCCGTGGACACAAAAATGCGTGATAAAGTGCCTGATTATATTTTGTTTTGATTCGTATTTTTGTGAATTCAAATAATCTGAGCTGTTCGTACAACACTTACGGCGCTCCAGTACTGTACGTACCAATGTGGGGGCCTAAGGGAAATGCCCTGGTACATATACTACGGTATCACCCGAAATTTTTCGATTTGCAATGTCTAAAGAAGCGTTTTTAATCGGTCGCGTTCGATCATAAAACAAAAGTTTTGGTGTTCATCGTTTAATTTAGTATTTTGTATTGCCGCTTTTCAATTTAGAAAATTTGGGTTGCCACCATTGACATCTACTAGAAAAAAAATTCATTCTTCGTTGTTCGAACTCGCGAGAAATACCACGCGTGTGCTCGTGTTTTTGTCGAAAATTCGCAAGTGAGTTGTGAAATCCAATAGTTTTCACCTTTCGCGTCATCTGTTACCAAATTTTTGAATAGTGAATTGCTATTCTAATAGTTGAATATTCGAATATATGCCCAGCCATACTCAGTAACTAGTAATAATTGATTTGAAAAATGTTATGTGGATAAACTTGCGGTTTATGTTTTATGTGAATCTTAACGTAAATCGTAACTTGGCTGATAGTTACCTTTGGCAAAAACGTTTGCGACCCGCAGTGAACTTCTGGCTCGTTGCGGATCATTCAAACGCTTCGCGGACTCGGGTTGGGAAACACTGCACTAGAAAAAAAGAGTCATATGGTAGAATTGCATTGTAAAAATTTGACTTCAATAAAAAAAATTGAGGCATTCAGCTCGTCCCTTGGCGACCAAATAAAAACAAGATGACAGCGAAATTTTTGACCGAATCAATTTTCATAATTTGCTATATGATTTAAATTTTCGATTCGAAATGTCAAGTCCTTGTAGTCACTATTATATTCTTTTCATCCCTATGTTGCAATTGAATTTTAGTGTCATTGTGATGACACTGTAACTGTAAGATGTCATTATAGTTGAATTTCGATTATTGTACATTCATTTAGAAGATTTTGAGTTATATTAAATCTGACTGTTGCCCGTTGTTCTATGCTGTAAGAAACTGCCCATGCTATATATAGCACATTGGAGATAGCTCAGTACTCAGCAGCTCTTAAGATGTTATGGCTTATCACTCAACGTTTTTTTTAAATTTTACTTCAGGGTGCAAGAGATATTTTGAAACTTCTCGGATACACAACATTAGTACTTGATGGTCTGTCTTATCCTGAAGATATTCTTGTACCTGATGTACCTATGATCGCATCGGTTACAGCAGATATTCTTTTGCTTCGACAAGAGTTGATAATGCTAGCACATGTAAGTTTAGATTAGGGTATGCAACAGGCAGACAACGGGCCACAATTCGGCCATTTAGTGTGGCCCTTGTCAACACCCAGATTTTTCCCCACCGAGCATAAAATCCTAATTCGACAGTTATCAATCTCTTAAAGTCTAAATAGGTGCTCACATGGGTAAAAATACAAAATGTTTTTTATTCTCTTGTCGATGCGTTATATCTTTCGCCGTTTTGCCTGTGGTTTTATGTACGGTGAATCTAAGTGATAGCTGCATTCTCTTCTTTTGTCAGTTAAGGGTTGCTACAACTTCTGTAAAAGCTGATGTTAATAATAACAAACTTGGCAAGAACCCCAAATTTCAATTGTCCCACTAAAATGTTGAATGAATTTTGGGAGAATTCTTTAATCCGTTGTGTACTTGGAAAAACTCAATTTTTTGTGTATCCCAGCTAGATGTCTGAAGTTGATTATATATACGGTAGTTAAATGGTGCACACCCCTGGTTTAGGTATTTAATTTTGATGGAGCATACGGTAATTACCGGTATGTTTAGTGATACAGAAATATTATAAGCATTAGCAACAACTATCATACTTTGACTATTGACTATTTTATTCCAATTGTAATTATAACTAATTAATTCATTTGTAACATTGTGTGTGCATTTAAAGTTTAAGGTATTTTAAGACAGTTTTTTAAAAAATCTTTTATTAAAGAATGGGATTTTTCACTGCAAAATAGATCTGATTATTTAATCAAATTGTGAAAAAAATTATTTGGATTACAAAATATTCACTTCTGATGAAAAAGTTATTCCCTTGTTATGATAAAATATGTATATTTTTTTCAAAAGTATGTTTTTTTTATTTTATTTTGCAGGGCGAACACAAACTTGAGAAAGATTTTTATCCCTATATTCCTAAGACGGAAATTAGAGCAATACAAACTGCTTATCAAGAAAAAGTGAAGCCTAGTACTCCTGCTGCTCCAGCTACACCAGAACCTTCCTCGAGTTCAAATGATATTTCAAATATGCCTGGTTCATTAGTAAGTTTCTTCAATTTATGCAGATTAGACATCTTAGTTTTATGATCTCAAATAAAATGATGCAAAACTGACATGTGTTAGTTTCTAATGTCTTATATATTGCATGTTAACATATATCTCCAACTACTGATACTGATTTTGTTAAATTGTATTTGAGCCATTTTTCAAATTTTTTGAAAAAAAGTAGTCCAACTCCAATAAACATATTGTCAGGTGATGTCCTTGTGTTTTTTAAAAGATTTGCTTTCCATGATTTGGCAAAAACAAGGTTATACGCACTTTTCAAATTTCTTCTATTATACTATACTCAATTAATATCATAAAGGAAATTTCATCTAGATTTTAAAACACAATAGGTGGCCTTATAAATTTCTAATGTATTTTTTCACCTGCTTGAACCACTTTGCTACCGCAAATATGTTTAGAATGCAATCAATTTATTAAGACTTATAAAAGTTTTGATTTTGTTCTAATTCTATTTTTATACTTAATTTTAAAATAATTAATATATATGTTATTTACATTTCAGCCGAACCCCCCAACATATGAAGCAGTCCTACAAGGTGCTGGTAGGAAATTCGATGAACCAATGCTTCAAGGTAACTTTAGTTTCATTCACAGGAAATGATTTGTAGATCATTCACATACTTACAGTTCATTCAATGTCTTCAATATTAAGAAATAGATTTGTACTGTATTTTACCTATATCATCACAACAGTGGTTCCAACCTTTTTCTATACATTAGGAATGTTACAAAACACGCTATTTCTTGCCAAAAAATGTAGGCATCACGTTTACTAGGTACCGTTACGTCACGTCGGAGTACCACTTTTAAAAAATGAATACGGATTAAATTTTGACATAAAATACACGACTATGGCCTCGAATTTAAATTTTTTCATTAGCGCATAATTTTCCCAACATTCGGAGCTTTCAAAAATTACGCTTGACTTATACGTACTGCTAATTAATGATTTTGTCGATGGGCATTAATAAAATTTATAACAACATAGTTCTTTCTCAACTCAGAATTTGTAAACTTTGTTTTATTAGGTTCTTCTAGACACAATATCTTTTGTTCTAAATTTTGTTCCATTACCTTAAAAAATAGCTGATATGCAACTTGTTATTTAGTTTTTGATTCGGCGATTGGCATAATGATAACCTTAATGGAGAAAATTTGGCTCTCAGGCATTACTAAAATGCAGATATCTCTATAATTTTTTGACCGTTTTTTACATACTTTGTATCGTTTTTATTTTGACTTAGATCAATCCACTGGCGAAGTTTTTATTTAAATTGGATGAACTTTATATTTTTGGTAACATACCTAAATATATTCTGCCCTTTGTCTATCGCTGGATACCTTTATTCCCTTCTCACTATGCCTATAAACTTTGTTTATGTTATTTGTTCTATATTCAAAGGTTTCCTAGCTATTGTTACGAGGAACTCATACTCTGACCTTTGCACAGTTAGAAAAATTCATATTGTGTGAAATATCCAAAAATAAGTAGTACAATATTGTACTAAATATGGAAATAATATTAGTAAATGTAGCTTATAAGTAGTATAAATGATTATTAAATTGGATTGAGTTTCTAATTCATAATTAAAGAAAACTGCAAAGCTGTTATTTATTTTTAGAACCTGCATCTTTCCAAGCTGTAAACCACATTGGTAATTCCATAAACAATATTTCCAATTCCGGATTCAAAAACGTTTCTGTAAAGGAACAACAGCAGCCTACAGAAATTTTAGATGAAGAACTCTGTGATATTTGTGGCCAAAAAAAGAGCACAATAAAATGTCGAAAATGTGATAAAATTTTTTGTGAAGGCTGTGATAAGATTTGGCATAATAATCCGAAAAGAAGAAACCACTCTAGAGATATTATTGAAAACGCTGCACCTCCTACTCGAGACGTGCCTGAAAGTAGCATGATGAATTCACTAAACAATGGTTATGAAAATCGCATGCCTAATGGATCAATGGGTAGTTTGGGCTATTCCCCACAGCATGGACAAATTGCTTCACAAGAGCGAGGTATAAGTTAAAAGTATTTTTTTGAGCAATATTAAATTTGATATTTAAAGTGCTAGAAACTAACAATTATCATACTGTTAATTAATTAACTTTGCAGCTGTTACAAATACAGATTCTGTGGGGTGATTAATTTATACCACAGGATTGCTGGACTCTTTCATCGTTGGATTGAATCAAAAATAGGATTTAGGTTAGGATCTACATATTTATCCTGAGGGAGAGGAAAGAAAAAGGAGAGGGCTTAATCATATGGATGCATGAACTTGATGGTGGAGGAAGCTGTAATTGTCCAACTGTTGTGTGAACCCCCTCCCCCCCTCACGGCAGAGGGGAGTCCATCAATCCTCTGGCACATAGCTATCGTCGGATGGGATTTAAACCTGCAAAGCCACGCAGGGTGATCAGAGGTGTAGTGGCGAGCGATTCCCTATCGCTTAGCAGCACCACATCACTCAGAATAAAGAAAAATATAAATATCTGCAATGGGACATTGTGATTTAGTTCTATAAGATTTTTTTAATTTGTTTTGTTAAGTAATTAGAAATCGATTCCACCAAATACTAGTCCAAAAGAGATTTTTCTCTATTGCAATATATCGATTCAGGATGAGATTTTTCATTATTTAAGCGTCTTTCAAAATTCAACATTCTTGACTGTATATTTGATTTGTGGACCAAACTGTTTACTGATTTGTTAATTTTTGACAAATCAATATTCCAATGTATTAATCTTATTTAGCAGGGCTGGGCAATCACAGCAATCAACCAACATTATCTGGTGAGAGACTTCGTCCCACAATGTACAGCAGAACTTCCACACTTTCAGAAGATACTGAATGGACAAGAAAGGTATTGTTTGTATACTTAATTCATAACATTTTGAGACAACGAAAAAAAAAAAAAATTCAACAAAATATGTTTTGCATTTTGGAATGTATGTTATCTTGATGACTTTGACCCATGCAAGAGGGGATTGCTGGACTTCTCATCGTAGCGGGGTGGTCAACGTAACTGCGAATTGGTTATGGCTACTTAAAATGGTGAAATTATTTCTTGACTAGTAACTGGACAACTAATGGACGCATAGTTAACTGTATTTCACTATCAAGCGTGTACATTCATGATTATGTGAAAGTTATGCATCGCACCAGACATGATTCATGCTATCCGGTGTGGACCTGATCTGGGAGGTCATCAAGCATCGTCCCAGTGATGTGGTTGGCAGTACTGATTTTCCCTAATTTGTAGACTATCTTTCAGGTGGTCCAAGAATTCATGAGTTGTTGAGTATATTTCTTGCTGATTTCCAATTTTAGGTTTCTGAATTTTGATATTTTATATGGTGATAATATATTTTCATTTTATTGTTTTGATAACTTGAGTCTTTGTGACAGCATAACTTTATTATTTTCTTTCGATCAAAGTAATTTGTATTTAATATTGCAGGTAAATCGAATGGCTACTGAATTGATGGACATTGAAAATCCAATGGCAAAACGAGAGAAGTTATTTCAGTGTTTAAAAGATTTAGATAAAGAGGCATCTAAGTATCAAAGCGGAATTAATCAGCTCTTAAGTAAAGCAGATAAAAAACCATCATTGGCAAATCATTTTCAAGAAAAAATTGATAAAATCGAAGACATTAAGACACAGTTTAAAACTCTGTGTGGATACGAAGATCCACCACCAAGCTCTCAAAGTCAAGAAGCATCAATGGAGGTTCCAATTCAGAGTATGGAATTCGGTAATTTTTCAAACTTACCAAGCGAGGGCGGTTGGTCATTCAAATCGAGCAGATCAGAAGTCGAATCGAATCTAGATGAGAATGTCGTTGCATCGATGCAACCAGCTTCTTCTGGACATCGCAGTAGTTCAACAAATTCTTTGCCGAACATTTCAAAGCCGCTTGTGCCGGTAGCAAACTTGATAGACTTTTCTCCTGAGGTTACTGGTGCAAATTTAATCAACCATTCTGGTTTTTCTTACCCAAGTACAAATAATGGGCCCTTGAATTTGACGTCTTCGCAATATGGAAAGGGAAACGAGAGAGCTATCTCACCTATTGATGAAACAGTAATCAAATCTCCTGGGAGTGGAGGAGATGCACAATATTTTGTACAGCCAATGAGTACTTCAGCTATGGAAGATCCAGACTTACAAAGGTAAATTTCAATTTAGTTATGTAAAATACGCAAATGGCGATATCACACAATGTTTAAAATACTGGAATAAGATAGTATGCATGGGATTTCAAAAAGCTATAACTTTTTGAACTAATAAAATTTTTTCTCCAATCAAATTTTTGTTTCAAAAATTTCAACTTTTTTTGTTAGTGTATGGTAATGGCCAAAAACTGATTGATTAGTTATTTTGAATACATTCTAAAATAATATTTTTGAAACATGATATATTGAATGTTCATGCTAATTCTTAACGAGCTTCCATACATCATTCTACATTATAAAGTTTGATGTTTTAAAGTTACACAAAGAGTTAGGTCGATCCTATTTCGATTGGTATTATACCGTCATCATATGTTAGTAAAGATGTTTTCATTTGTCGTATCAAATGTCATCTGCGCTTCATTTTTTGAATGAAAATACTTCCAATTTTTCTAGAACCAAGAATCTGCCGTATATCCTTGCACACATATGATGATCCTGCATATGAGCTGACCCCCAAAACAGGGCGCTTCAACGGTGAACTTATAAAAATTTGCATATGAGCCGATTTTATAAATCGTAATACGTCGCACTTGTATGTGGTACACGTACGTACGAGTCAGCTTATATGCACATAACTCTGATTGCACTGAAAACTTGGCTAATATGCTAGGATATACAGTAATTAGTATTTGAATGTTCAATCCATTTTGGACATCCCTTATCACATCTTCTCAGTTTGTTCATTCCTACTATGCAATTTGTTGATGTTTTGTATCATATATTGATACTTTCCTTTTTTTAAGTGTATTCAGCATACCACCGTCAACATTTGAGCCATTATCTCATGAAAGCTTGAAACGAATTTTCCCGAATGATCAAAATGGAACAACACAACCAGCTAAAGTAAATAAGAGCAGCCCTGAGCGCAAACCTTATGTACCTGAAATCGAATCAGGTTTGCATCATATGAACATTGAAACGACTATACCTAGCAAAGTGGTTGAACCAAAAAAGAAATCTTCTGAGTTGATATTAAACAAAAAATCACCCGACAGTGAAGAAGAAGACTTTCACAGTGCGGAGGAGGGTGATATACCTCTGAAAGCAAATATTGTTGGGAATCGACTCGAAGAACCGATTCTAAGCACATCAACTGTATTTCTCCCCAACATATCTCCGGAGGATTTAAGAAATCGGATGAAGAAAGAAGAAAACAGATTTCAAACTACGCAATTCTTGGACTTGATAAGGGTATGTACATACTATCTCAGGAATTCTATTCAATAAAAAAAATGTTTCTCCAAGATTGAAATTGGCATTTTTTCTATAAAATTTGCCACCATTGTTGTTGAGTTTGGATTATTCGAAACGAATAGTCTTAAAGTAGAACCAAATCACATGGTAAGACATGAATTTCCTGAGTTAATTGGTTATTTCAATGTCCAGTAATTTGGATTGAACTTCGTTATTTTTAATCTAAAATTTTTAATTTATTACTTATGAGTGTTTGTCGAATTTGTATTTTTGCTCATTCATTAGTTCTATTAGTCCATTGAAGCGGTAATTGAATCAAGCATAATGCACAATTACCGTAGTTTCGTCAATGTTTATTATTAGGGATTACATTTTTTGCTAAACCCAACACAGCGAAAAAGAGACTCCAGCTGTGACGCAAAGCGTGAATCGTATAAATAGCGTTGATTTCAAAATCGCCATTCAGATGTGTGAATTTGTTGACGCAACTCAGACAGGAATTCAATACCATTAACTCCTTTATAATGACTCATTATTGGTTTAGCATGTATTTTCAGTCATACATATCATCCCCCGCGCTGTGATGTTTTGATAAATATGATTTCGACTGCACCATACTTGGCAGAGGTATCGAGATTTTTCAAACGTGAGAAAAACTTAAAATTAATGGTAATTTTCATGCGTAACAGTGGCATTAGAATGTTTACGGCTTTCCGTCGGAATGTTTACGCGCATTTATGTCCGAAAAAGTAACATTTTTTGCATTGAGGGGGGCGTGTGCACTAATAATTAGAGGTGTAACGTCATCAAAATTGTCAATTGAAGCCTTGAACTTAAAAATTCTGTAAATACAATCGTGAATTTTAGAGTAACCATTCTTGCTATAATAGTGGTTTTGATGTTGCTTTTTGGAAAATAACACAAGAAAACATTGAAATAAAAATTAGTTAAATAGGAATAATTATTAACCCTCTGCTAGACACAAAATCTCGCAAGTTCAATGGAAATTTTGGAATTTTGGTTAAAAAAAAAATTTTTTTTTGATGAGTGCGTTTTACATATATTGCTGAATAGAGCTCTATCACACGCTAATAAAAAGCCATGAGTGAAGCTTTAGAGCCTAATGGTTGATCAAAAAATAACCCATGTAAAATGGCACCGGACCGATCGGTGGGGGAGGGTTAAACTCAAATGGGTGCTTATCAGATATGAGCTGGTTGTACATCAAAATATTTATAATACTCAAACCTTGCATATTTTTTTTGTTCCATAATCTGTTTTCTTGCGTTTTAATAAAAGGTGTTCATAAAGTCTTGAAATTTTTTAATTTTGCAGAGGAAATTTATCGATACCGTAGGATACTGTGTGGCCCTCACAGATGTATTAAATGAACAATTACTGATTAAAATACAACAAACCGGTTAACATATATTGAAAACTGACTTCATAACAAAATTGAAAATTGTAAAGGAACTTTATCGACACCTTGTATTATTTATTTTTGAGTGGAACAAACATTTTGTAGTTTTTGAAATCTCATTTGTACACTATTCATAGGGTTGCTTGATACCCATTCATTCTTCGACAAATCTTACATGAAAACATATTTTTCAGGCTGGGGATTTGGAAATGTTTCGTCCCGATCAAGTACAAGTTGCAATAAAGGAATTAGAGAAGGAAAAAAATGATATGAGGTTTACACCTAATTCCTGGTTGGAAAGAAATTGGAAAAATCATGTCATGTCGTTTATTGTTTTCGTGAAGGTGAATTTCTTATTTTTTTTTTAAATTTCATTAATTTTCAAAGAAACTTTTGGTTTTATTCTGGTCTCAAATGTCTGTGTGAGTGGGATTATGAGAGCAAACATGAGAGCAACACAGCTTATAGCTATATATAAGGTAATTTTGTAACATTGTATTGACTAAATAGTAAAAAATAAAATATGTGTTCAGGAAAAAGGATACAAAATATCAGCGGAAAGTGCTGAAGATGTTTTATTAGAAGGAGAGTACAATTTTGAAAAAGCTTTTGAATTAATTGTTGATGCTCAACATGAAAAGGTAATCGCTATTCATATCTTTATAAAGTTTCGTGTATGAGTGACAGGACACTTCTTCTTGTTTAGGAGGATGAGAACCCTCCAGGGCCACAGACCACCCAAAGTGGGTGTAATGGTATTGGTTGAAACTCAATCCACAGATCACAAGTTAAAAATCTTGTGCTCAAATCTCATGCTAAGGTGTAGTATATTGCATAGGCCTGGGCTTTTCTATTATTTTTTACCAAAGATCCGTAAACAAAACTTCAAAACTACTGGAATCCGGCCTTTCCAGAAATTATATTTCGACATCCTTGAACGCGCACTTTCTCGGCGTTACAGTTCTTTTCATATTTAGTCAGACGCAAATATAAGCAAATTATAGAACAATCTTTGAAAATATGAAAGTCAATTAATAAAAGGAAACCTTCACATATCCAAAGTTAGGCTATTTATTGATCAGAAACAAAGTAGCGGTCCGAATTGAAAACTCGGAAGGTCCGGATTCGAATCACGGTCCGCCAGTTGAATAGCTGTGGCACAGGCTATTCAAAAAGGGGAGGATTTTGTTCTTTTCGAAATATAATAGCTCCTAATATATCAGTACAAGATTATACATACACCGAGGATTGTCTGGAGTGAAAGACATGCTAATACATATTAAAAAATTATGAGTTTTGTTCAACTGAGAAGCAATTTGATTTGGCTCAAATCTCTGTCCACATGTTAATATACTTCAGACAAGATATAAACCACCACGCCCATGGTGTTATTCACTATTGTTAGTTAAATTGACAATTTCCATTTGACATTGACGAGATGGAAAGAGGTTTAGGTTTAAAACTCAATATTGTTATTCTCAATACTGCCTATTTTTTGCATCGGAAGTTTTTAAAAGTTAATGTTGTTGTTTGTTGATAGTTCTCAATGTTGTTTGTGTTCATTAAAACTATATCTCTTCTAATTTGAGAAAATTTTCAGGTGAGAGATCTCGGGGAAGAATTTGGTTTCGAAGCTGCTCAGAAAGCAATGTCTGCTAATAGAGGGGATAGATATCTGGCAAGAACCTCTTTACAGAAAGATCATTTACAGGATATTTACAAAGAATTCATTGAGAAAGAAGGTTTGTTAATTTGATTTTTGTAAAATGATGTTAGAAAATTATTAATACAAAAGTACAGAAACGTAGTTCTCCAATCCCCAGCATTTTCGCCTAAAGCAATGTTATGCGCACTCATTCAGTAATAATGAATGTTATTTCTGAGCAACTAACTGGTTAACCCTGAAGTGCTAAGCTCAAATGATAGTACCGGTAAGCTGTATTATCAGCAATTATTAATCAATTTGTTAATAATATTATATCATTACAACATTTACAAGCAACTAAAAATTAGAGAACACTCTCAAATGCATCATAATTTAACCAAATCTTGATGTCAAAAAATCAGGTGTTCATGTTTATGTATTACGTTAAGATAATCTCCAAGGGTATGGTATCCCGCTCATTGGAGATATTATAATGTAAAACTTTCAGAAACCGGCATGCTTATAATTGTTTCTGTTTATACTCCGTTATATCAAGTAGGTTCGTTCCCTATCGTAACTTTAGCAAATGTACTCGGCTCGACGGTGTGGTAAATAGGGCTCAGTGTTAGAAATACTTTTGTCACCGCACCTCTGATTACTCTGCAGGCCCAGGGGTTCGAATCCTGTGGGGGATAATTATGTGCAAGGCGATTGCTAGACTCCTTTTCGCCATAGAGTGGTTCACATAACCGCTGCTCGATTACGGCTTCCTCCGTCATCAAGTTCACGCTTCTGAAATCCTGTGTTTTCACTAATTTATTTCTTTTTTTGTTTTGAAGCTGATGATGAACCTGATGTTGTGACGTTTAAACGTGCGCTAGAAATTGACAAAAACGAAGTAAGATTTTACACCTAATATTTGTTGTTCTCAACAACTAATTCAAAAGTTTTAGCAGTTTGATAAGCGCTAGTTCATTTCCAAAGGATTGAAACTTTTCTGGTGGTGGGCATGGGATTTAACCTGTAATGCTGTTATATTTAAGTCTGAAAGTTTTATTAATCACCTGTCAACCATCCCCATCCACATAGTTGGTGCAGGAGATTTAATCAGCGATAGCATGATCCAAATTTTTAGATTCGAAGTGTGGCATGGCGGTGTGGCTCACCGCTTGCCACCGCACCTCTGATTACTCTGCGTGGGTTCGTAGGTTCGAATTCCATGCAGGATAGTTATGTGCGAGAGGATTGCTGGACTCCTCGCGGCCGTAGGGTGGTTCACGTAACCGCTGGTCGGTTACGGCTCCCTCCACCATGAAGTCCATGCTTCCGAATACAAATATAACTAACTAATCCCCTACTAGACATGGAATGGTAACCGAACAACCTATCCTAAGTTGCACTTTTAATGTAAGCTAATGGTGATAATGTGTATATCTTTACATCTATTTATAATTGTTTTCTATTTGTTTTCCCAGTTGTTGAAAAACCATGCATTTGTAGCCATATTTGATTTCAAGCAAGTGCCTCGTGCCGAAACGTTGAATGCATTGTTGGAAATCTTACCAGATGAACTTCTGTCTACCTTACTACAAGACGCAATTGAAGCTATCTCCAGTGATAATGATATGATAGATGTTGATAATGCCATTCGTTATCTTGATAATGAATGCATGATATGTACGGAGAAGTTCCCTCAAAGTAAAGTAAGTATTTTTCTTCTATGATTTTCAGAAGACTTGTTTCATAACCGATGTAATCAATCTTTAATCAAGTTTCATGACTGTAATACTGTCAAATGTCATATCAAATTGTTCCAGTGAATTAGAAAATGTTGGTTTAGATATTGGATCATGTAGAACGAGATGTAAACGTAATAGCCTTCTAGTAGCTTTAACCATATTCAGGTGGGGAATATTACCCCATCCATGTAGTGGTATGATATCTCTTTCATATAATTTCTAATAACTATCTAAGGAATGGCAAACCAATGACCCACCAAGTTTTTTCGATCATCCGTCAAATCGTAATAAAACTGGCATTGATTCATTCTTTCAATAAATTAACTGCTGTACTATAATAGTATAAATCTACCGGCAACAAAGCTCAAAACTACACAATACCAACTACTGATTATAGGACTTGCAAAAAAGTTGCAATTTCGTATTGATGCAGAACTTTATCAAGTATCTATGATCAACAGTCTCCCATAATACCCACTCATATGAAAAGGTTATCACCCCTGATCTATCTCTAGATCAATTTGTCAAAACCGTTCTTGACTAGAATAACACAAGTGTGAAACTGAAACCCCCATTTTTTTTTATTTTAGATTATATGTTAGAACCTTGGATGTAGCTGCTTGATAGCCAGCTTTGATTCCCAACAGCTTCCCTTCCCCAGTAAAACTATGTGGTTACTTTTTTTCTCATTCTCTGTACAATTGATCTTGACCAACTGGAAGTGATGAAACTTTGAAAATGATTGGTCACCAGTTGCGAGGAGAAGCATTTGCTTACTATAAACAGAAATTTTATTTTCTATATATTTTTTTGATATTTCTGATACAAGAACTTGTATTCATTTTTCCAGATTACATGCCTGCCAACCTGTGGTGACAATGGATGTAATTATTGTAGATCTTGTTTGGAGCAACATCTAGCCATATGTGTCACAGATAAAAACATAAGGGATATTGTCTGTCCTGTGTGCTCACAACCTGAAACAAACAGTGATGAAGAAACGTTGTTAAATTTTTTCAGCCATGTTGATGCTATTGTAAGTAATTTTGTTTCTCAGTAGCAACTCAAATGAAACAATAATGTATATCGAATCATCGTCATTTAGTATGAAATAGGTATGCATATTATGGCTATGTATTTCAGTGTTTCCCAACATATGGGTCGGGTCGCCTGAAAATCGTCTTGGGGCGCTCATTTTTTTGACAAAATATTCATTTTCTAGAACTTTTATTATTTATTTTTCATTTGGCATTGAAGCGGTGCCCAATTGTATATGTCAGAAATATCACAGTGTAAAAACTTCGTGGTGTCTATTTTTCCCAAATAAAGCCCTGCTACGAAATATGAACTCGCTGATGGCAAACTAGCGCAACTTTTTCTCTTTGAAATGATTTGTAGTGAAAAAAAATGTTATGCAAAAAACGATTGTAATAATTTAATTTTGCAGCCCTAAAAGTGCTACATTTGTATTTGAGCATATCTTTAAGTCGCAAATTTTTATAAAAATAGTTTTATTTTTAACTTTGTGTCTCTTGGGAAGAGTTAATTTTGTTTCTCTTAACATTTTGATAAATGATACCACCAATATATGTATTTTGAATCCATAACATCCTTTTTTTAATTGTCATTCTTGGAAACAGCAACATTTGAAGGGACTTGAAAATCTATGTTACGCAGTTTGGTGACAATATGGAGTTGATATGAGAAACATTATGAATAAATAGTATTGATCCTATTGGACCTAAATTTAGTTTATTGGAGAAAACGATTTTTTTCATGAATAATAATTGGTGTTGGAAAGTTTGGCAATAATATGGAGTTGGTATGAGAAACATTATGAATAAATAGTATTGGTCCTATGCCCGCCCCTTGCGGTATACCTGAATTTAGTTTCTTTATTGGAGAAAACGATTATTTTCGTAAATAATAAGTATTTATTATATTTAGCTTCGGCATATGCCAGACAAGAAATATCATGATATTTTTTTACAAAAATCTCGCGATTTTACTTTGATGAGATTGCCAAACTTCAGATGGTGTTCACATGTAAGTTGGTCACTCAGCTTCTTGTTATATTGTGGAAAATAAAGAAATAATTTGAAAATAAAGAATAATTTGATTTTATTTTGATTATAGTGTCATATGGATATATTGACTAATTACTAAAAAATACTAAATTACTAAATACTAAATTACTAAAAATAAAGTTTTAGTTTTTGTCTACTCAGATGTTTCAATCTATTCATTTATTACCAACGGAATATGAATATTTGTCAATTATATAGGGCTTATTTAGATATCGTTTCCTGTACAACTTATAAAATCTGAGAGCTCTTTTCTACTACCGTTAAATGATTAGCATATGATATTGTGCAAAATTATACTTCTTGAAATCTGACAAAAATTTTGATCAAATAGGGTTTCATGGATGCTGTGCAATACATTTCATAACCTTATGATCTTCAAATCAAAATATTAATTTGCGCACACGATGTTTTGCTTGATAAAATTTTTTTTATTTAGAACACTCCCTAATTTATCTTAATCTATATACAGTGCAGCGGTGGATTTCAATATGAATATGACGCTGAAAATAATAATTTAAAGATGGTTTGTCCATTTTGCAGAAAGGTAATTATATTTACTTTTTTTTCACTCATTTTTGAATGAGAGTCATTGTTCGAGCAAAGTTTGTGGGGACGAAAATTTAGATTTACAAAGACACTAACCAACATTTGGTTTATTGTGATAAGCATTTAGAACATGCCTGTCATCGCAAATAACAATGCAAGGATTGAATATCAATAGTTATGTGGTTTGAGATGCTCTGTGCAAACAGCTGCTGGTATATAAGAAGCTGTTATACATTTAAGCCTTGAAGGGAACACAATCTTGTGGTTTGTCATTGCCAACGCTAATTATTGCACCCTATATTAGCCTGTGCGCGTTGAATTTGACCCAGAGATTTGAACCTTTAATGTCAGCATAGCTAAATCCAACTATTAAAGATGATTACATATTTTTTCATTGATCATGATCTGGCTACTACTGTGTTTCCCCATAAATAAGACCTAGTCTAAATCGCTGAATATTTTTACCTAGTTGATGGCAAGAAATCTCTCCTACAAGTTGATCAATTATTAATCTAAAACGTGTGATAGAAAACGTCTTATTTATAAGTAAATTAATATCGGTTTCATATTTTGTATATTTGAAAATCTCATAATTCTCTACTTTGTAATATTCTTTTTGATAAATGAAAAAAGACATCTCGCAAAATAAGCCCTAGTGTTATTTTTGAAATAAGTTGAAATTGAATAAGAAAATTGAAATAAGACCCGGTCTTATTTTCGGAAAAACACCGTAAATGATCATCATTTGCCAAATGAGATGAAGTAATTGGATATTGGTGTTGACCGATAATCGAGTGAAAACTTATTTCAGGGAACATGTTACAAATGTAAAAAGAACTGGGAATCCCAACATGATGGTATCACTTGTGAACAATTCCAGCGTTGGAAAGAACAAAACGATCCAGAGTTTCAAGCAGTTGGTCTTGCTCGTCATCTAAAAGAAAATGGAATAGGTTTGTTTTCACATATACCTACTCTATAAAATATGATAATATAATTTGATTGGCTTAATAAAACAAATAAATAGTTATAGGTGTTAAATTAAAAAATAAATAAAATGGGACTTGTTTGCGTTGAGTTCAAATTTATTTTCTTTTACTCTATTTAAATTTCGCTATTATTAGAATTATTATATTTAAATTTTTAGAAATTATATCTCAATATTGTCAAAAATTGAAATTTATTTGCTTTATTCACTCCTGCATCAAGTATTCTGCAGGCCAGACAATGAGTTTCAATTTTTTTAGATGAATATATAAAAAATTTGTGCTTTTCCTCCCTCTTTGTATCATATTTGAAAGGGTTGCACAATTTGTATTTATCTAAATCTTAGTACACCCATCACTCATTTATTGGTATTCACACAGGAATTTGAAAGTTTTTCATACCAATCCATGGGGAAGTCCCACATGATATCCCCAGGAAAATTACTTTTATTGTTAGGCAACCTATTATGTTGTTCAGACCTCACTCTGTTGTCAAGTTATTGATCCTGTATCAAATATTGTTCGAATCCATCATTGATGTAACTATAAATTGGCATATTTTAATTTTGTGAGCAGCGAGTATCTCTATCGCAAAAGTATTATACAATTTGTTGCACGTTAGACCAATACTCGTGGTGCATTACCTCATCTAAGGGTCGCAGTCTTTCTCGCATTCTGAAGAGATTTTATTAATACTATTTTTGCAGATTGTCCCGACTGCAATTTCCGTTATGCTCTTGCAAAAGGTGGATGTATGCATTTCAAATGCACTCAGTGTTCACATGAATTCTGTAGTGGATGTGCAAGTGCTTTCAAAAATGGAAAAGTAAGTCCTATCGAGTTATATCTAGAATATGATGACATAGGATCGTCAAGTATGTAGTAATGTTGGGGAGACTGTGGGCTAGTGATTTGACTTAAGTCATCATATTCGCATATTGCTTCGCTTATATTTGGAAATGACATATTTATTGCATCTTAATTTTTTCTCTTAGATCTGGGGTCTCCAACTCAAAACATGTCGCGGGCCACTCTTCGAAATTTATTGACCACGCGAGCCGCAAACCATGAAATTAGGTACAAAATGGGTATCTGAATTTATTGTGTTGAAATTACACTTGAATCTTACAACAAACGAGACATGAAACATATTCATTCACTTGTGCTGGATATTTGGTCTCGATGTTTGGCCTTATTTTGCGTTGGTGCGCTAGTCTTAAGACAACATGCAAATGCTCGTCCGTTAGTCGTGTGCGAAGGGCTGATTTGCTAACTTTCATAGTCGAATAAAACAGCTCGCAAATATAAGAACTGCCAAAAATCGCAGGTATGCGAAGTGAATGTGCAATTAGCTTTGCAAACCTTTCTTCGGGCACAATGGACTGACCGAAACTCGTTTGTTTCGTCACAATGAACATGCGAAATGAAATTATTGCATTTATAATTGCATTATAACAATTAACAATATAATAAAACATGAACGTGGACAACAGGGGGGAATTTTGCTTCACTTTTTGCAGTTTGTCGGGCCGGACTCTTGATGATAAATGACACGATAATACCTAATAATAGTTCACATCGTACTATTTTAGTTTTTTGTGGAAAAATCCCAACCATGACGAGGGCCGCAAAAAATTGGCTGGCGGGCTGGAGACCCCTGTCCTATATATTAGACTGTGAATAAATTAAAGCTTACAAATATACTCGCTATTTCGTTGAAAGAGATTGTATTATTCCAATTTATCACTTCTTATATTGTCTCACAACCTTAGATCTAAAGTAGGAAGTAAAAAAGGATTTGCAGTTAGTTCAATACACAATATCATAGTAGTCCCTCTATAAATAATTTTGATTAGCGCAGTTCATTATTTTTCCTTTCTACACAGAAATGTGGTAAATTTCCAACATGTCATTCAAGAGGACTACATGCTCACCATCCTCGTGATTGCTTGTTTTACTTGAGAGATTACAATCCATCTCAACTTCAAAAACTTTTACGTGATAATAACATACAATACAACACAAAAGGAGGGAATCAAAAAACGTGTGAGGTTATGGAACAGAAAGATACTCCCGATGGACTGAAAGATGATGCTTGTGGACGTAATGTAATGAATAATTGTGCTGGGTTGTGCAAGCTTCATTATATTGAATATCTGGTAAGTTCCATATTTTCTCACAAGTCGTACAAAAAGTCAGCAGTAATTTAATGGATTTGTCACAGAGATCAGGGTATTTTTTTAATGCGATATCCAGAACTGTGACAATAGTATCCAGCTGTTCAGGGAAGTAATGGGCGTAGAACTTTCTGACCAAGTTTGGCTTACACATCAATAGGAGGTAAAACTCACAAATTAAATGGGCAGGCCATTAACGCCTTTCATTTTGTAATTGAGATGCAATATTGGAATATATTTGGCGGACTGGCAGGAAGGTTGAAGCCGACCAGTGGTTGAAAACCACTGTCTTAGACCATTCATTCAATAAAAATTTGTCCTATTATTCACTGATGCAAAATTTTTGTTGCTCATTTTGAGTGTTTTATTGAGGATGGTATGTAAACAGGTTCAAACACACATTTTTTTTCAAATTATCCAAGTACCTGTCAGTGAAAAGTGCTGGCATTGTAGATTGTAGATGCAGATTGTACCCTAACTAACTATAACTCTTCCGAAGACAAAATGACCAATGTTGGGAATTGTCATATATCAGAAAAATTCTGATGAATACAAGTTTCAAAAAACAATGATTGCTGCTTGTTGGGTAAAAGGGGGTTAAACTTAGGGGTTAAAGTATTAGACTTGACAGACAATGTTGGCATTGCAGGTTAACCTTTGGTTAAAATAACCCTACCTATGGTGTGTAGGTAATGCAGGACCTGAAAAATTTCAGTCTTTCCAAACTATCCTTACCAGCAGTGGTTGCATGTGTAGAGAGAGACTTGTTCGGAGCGAAATAAATATAAATACGTTGTATGAATAAGCTCAGGAATCCAGTGTCGAGAAGCTTATTGTAACTTATTATTTCTTTTACAGGTTAATCTTGTTAACATTCATCGTCTGGATCCAGCAGATATTTTTACGGTTGATGAATTGAAAACTTGCTTGAGAAGAGAAGATATTGATATCCCACAGAAAAAGGCAAGGGAAAGTGAAGACACTTATCGTAAAACTCTGCTTGCGGAAGTTAAAAAATTGCCATTGAAAAGACAAGGTTTGTTCTATCATTTCTGTTTAGAAATTAGAGTCTTTGTAATTAATAAAAAAAATTTTTGGTTGAAATGACAATTTTGTTGAAATTGTGATGGTTAATCCAAGGTATTAGGTGTTTCGACCAACTAACTGTAACACACATTTTGTATACTTTACCTGCTTTATCTTGGGTACCAGGTCAGAAACCTTTACCTGACATAGACCGGTGATCGAACGAGAGGTCATAGTTTGTTATGTTCAATTGTGCACCTCAGATGCACTATTCTGAATAAAACTGTAGTGCGAAATGGTTATAAATTCAATGGTTGGGAATTGGAGATATTGTTCCTAAAGTATATTTATTGAGTATTTCAAGAATTTTAATAAGGTCAAATAAATTGGTATTGACTGGAGGACCGACCATAACGAAATATGAAGGAACGAACGAAAATTTTTTGAGCACAATGGCTTTCATTAATCACAATTTCTACTTATTTAAAATTAAATCAAAAGTATATCTTAACACAATTTTTTGAAAATTTGTCTCTATATAGGTGAGAATGAAGATGTTGAAATGGACAAATGAATCTTGACAGAGATATTTACGTAATACAACAAATGCAACAGTTCATTTTTGCACCAGTAATGATATAAGATTCAGTCTGCGTGTTATATTCTATATTGTTTGAATATATTTAGGAATCTATGAAGTTTAACTATGTAATAAGGAATGTTATTTTTATTATAAAGCAAAGATTTTTAAACCAGCTAAAAAAAATTTCAAGAAAATAATAGCCTAAGTATTTGTATCAAATTTGTTTGAAGAAAGTTTAGCCTCAATTGTGCGAAACCACAATTGAAAAAAGGAAATATCGATGAAAGGAATGTCATAAATTACCACTGAAGTATCAAGAATTACATATCAATTTAACATGACAAATAATATGTCAGTAGTTATGGGTTGATAATAACAAGTGGTCCATTTCACGAGTTATTCGCATTTGTTTGCTTCATTATCATTAGTAAAAAACTCCTATATGATCACTACTGTACTGTATGGAAAAAAGCACAGTGCAACCAAGATCAAGGTTTTCCATCCTTATTCCCTTCACAAATTTCGAAAGGAAAATTCCCCTTGTTATTCGTTTATTTTGCAACAGATGATGTTGTAACTTCCATGGTGTTGCAATATTCCATTTGATCATGTAATCGAGTCCAAGCCATATGTTTATTCGAGTGTTCTCGCTCCCAGGATAAATATGTAATGAAAGGAAATGATCCACCTGCAAAGCTGGTCGAATTCACCTCAAAGTGTTTAAATCACCATGCGATTAAAAACCCCTGTCCTGAACGCTATTTGTTCTCATCTAGCAGAAAAAAATATAATATTCTCTCAATTTGTGAATAATTTAAAATTGATTTTTTTTCATCCCGCTAAGCTGGTGAATTTTAATTGGTCTAGTCCAGCACCATGCCAATGTGACTTGTGTTCCCTTCGCTGTATGTACTTTTTGCTATATATATACCCTATGCATTGATTCAGTGTGTTATATTTGTCGACATGGTCCTAGTTTGCTATCTCATGCATGGTTTATGAATGTATCGGTAATTCATAAGTACATTAAATTCACTCATAAAATTGGTCTTTATATATTATTCCAGATTCGGATTTAATATGATAACAGGCGACTATATCAGCTTAGCCATTCAGTTTGTTACTTGAGGTCCATGCATCTGGAACAAATACTTGGCTAGGTAACCCCATACTCGATATGGACTGGTAACGTGGTTCGTCGTATGATTAAGTCGTAATTTTCGAGTAGGATAGGATAGGATTTACATATTTATCCCGGGGGAGAGGGAAGCCGATAAGACGGCTTATCCATATAGCGAACCACGGTCTCTCGTCCGGTTACCATTCCAAGTCGGGTATGGGATTAGTTTTACTGTTTTGTTTTCGGAAGCATGGACTTGGTGGTGGAGGAAGCCGTAACCGACCAGCGGTTACGTGAACCACCCAACGACGGCGAGGAGTCCAGCAATCCTATCGCACATAACCATCCCTGCATGGGATTCGAACCTGCATACCCACGCAGAGTGATTAGAGGTGCGGTGGCGAGCGTATTCCTAACGCTTAGCCCGTTGAGCCACACCGCCGCGCCTGAGTATGTGATGATTTCAGAATCGAATGGAATATTTTTTCGAATCGAATCTCGAATACTTCTGAGATATGTTGTATTGACTGTTTAATTGTAATATGAGTCCTCCAGGCACATTAATTGGTGAGAACGCGTAGTCAATCACTCAAACAAGTTCGCTAAGTGTTTACACACCATGAGAAACATGTTTCATCAACAACTCGCTCGGAAGAATAGAGTCACATGTCAGAATTTCATTTTAAAAATATGACTTGAATAAAAAAAATTAGAGATTCCATTTCGACCCGCCGGCGAACAAACAAAAACCAAGTTAGCGGCGATTCGAAATTCTCGTCTGAACTGGTTCGAATATTTGATTCAAAATGTCCAGCCCGACGTGTGGGTAACAGTATGGACACCGAAGTTAGCTACGTGCTGTACTTTTCAATGAGCGCATTTTGTATTCAAATGATAGGAATCATTTCCACCAAATTTCCCATATGATATCTTGAGCAGAAATCAATAGGGTTTACATATTTAATCTATTAAATTCGTCACTGGGCTCAGGTTGGCCACCTTTGCTCTGAGGTATTAATTTTTACTCCTTATTCGAGAGTTCGAATCGCGTGATTGAGCGATGATGTGAACGATTTATTTGATGATTGATTGTTGGATTTTTCATCGCGGGTGGTTCACTGGTCGATTGTGGCTTCATCCAAGTTCATTTGAAAGTAACGATTAATTGGTTAGCTATCGATTCCTTTACCCGAATTGTTTCTTAACTACAATTTTCTCCCCAGCATAAATCCTGTCCTGTGTGACAAAAATAGTGGAAGCTGCTGCAATACCCCTGCTAAAAACAATGGCATTCCTGACGCCAGCAGATGTTTCCCAAACTTTGAATTCCATGCGATCTATTTTCATTACGTACGTTTTTATAACTTACATTCACTTTACACACTCACGAATGACTGCAAGTCTGACTGTCTTTGCTGTTGTCCTAATATAAATAACCACATCCCATATTAAAAAGTATTGGTGTATTTAATAAAATCACGATGTGTTTTATGTATAAAAAATCAAATCTTAACTTGGTAAAGCGTCGAATGGAACATCGTATTGTACGTAGATGGGATCTTTGACTTCTTTTGCATCAATAGGCGAACTGTAAATATCTTCCATCTCTACCATTCGTCTAGTATGGCAGCCGTTGCCGGATTTACCTGGCATGGTATGGATGTGGGTACCAAGCACATGCCGCCGCGACAAAAAGTTCGATTTTTCATCCAATGAATGGCATTTGCAAAATCCCATCGGGTGTGGATGTTTTGGGTTACACAGTGTACTTGATATGTTTGGAGCCTCGAGGGCTGAATTCTTGGTTTGGTCCCTATGGATAGCTTCATTGCAAAAACCGTTACTAGTATTGTGTGCTTTCCATCGACCGCATGCATCCGATGCATTTGATAACCTGAAATGAAACAGTTACAAATATTGTTATATAAACTATGTAAAGGTAGGCACATAATACACTATGCTAGGGTTATTTACGTCTTCCCATAAAAGTTATTGTCTCAATTCGTGAATCAGTGCTTCGTAGAAAAGCCCTTGTCAAACTGAACTATTGGCTTATTTTGTTGAATAACTACACTCTTGCTTCCATGACTACGACATACTTTTAGAAAATGCTGAAACGGCTGATTGTAAAATGAATTGAATCGATAAAAACCACCGAAAGTAAAACATATGAGTGTAAAAAGGAACACCAAAAATGACCTTTGTCGTTCCAATGAACCTCGCTTGGACCAGACGAAGCGATCTTCTGATGGTGACGCTGTAAGGGCAGAATTGTACCCTGATGTTGTCACGTCCACGTTGAATGACTTCACACTGCTTGTGCCCGATGACAGACGACACGGCCATTTATTATGTCCTTGTGAGTTTTCCCGCGACTAAAACGTGCAATACGGGAAGTAAAATTAGCAAGATTTATATATATTCTTATACACCAGGGTTAGAAAATTCAAAATGACCATTTGATAGTTCAGAGCTTTGCACAGATGGAACGAATGACTAAAACGCAATGCACCTCGAAGCGAGATTTTCCCAATTATTTTTTTACATAATATGTAAGATGTGTTACTTAGTTTTATATGATTTCAGATTGGGTTTTGAATTAACAGTTTAACACCGTATTTGTACCCGCGAACCCAGCTACAATGAAAAAATTCTGGGCCAATCTAATTCACTTGCATACCTTATCTAATATATGCTGGTTCAATCTGCTATCATTACTTTGAATTGATGATTCCGACTGCGTTGGTGTTCTACGGCTTCCCTCAATCCACTGAAAGTCCGAATTTGTAGCTACTTTGCTATCTTGAAATTTTTTGCCACGTAATTTAGATTTTTTCGCTAAAATTTTAGAGTAACGTGTACTGAACGCCGATTTTCGTTCATTTTCATATTCATCTTTCGAGAGTTCATCTTCGGACAAAAATACTTCGTTTTGGTCGTCGGTTAATCGCGATGATTTTGGTCTTTTTATGGATTTACGAAGTGTGTTTACAACGTCACGACCTTCGTCAGAGTCGAAAGATTTGGTTGCGTCTGCCATGGTATTAGAAGGATTAGCAACAGTCAATTTCCCCGACTCGTCTGCACCAATATTGTCTTCCTCATTACTAAATTCAGAACTTGAATATGTAGCTTCCACATCATGTTCGGTCGCCAAAGATACTGACGGCATGAAAGCGGGTATATCAGAATATACTGGATCCGCGGCGGTCCCAGCTGCGGCTGCATCCATACAATCCGTGGATTCATTATCGACTAAACTATTTTTACTATGGCATTCTTTGAAATAAGCATTCGGCGCCAAAGACGTATCTAATTTATTTGGAACTGTGCAATACAATGCTTCAGCGTTTTCTGGGCGTGCTCCTCTTTCTCTTTGTGTTGGCAGTGTTGAATGCGACGCTTGTACCAAATGTGACAGTGGAATTTCCTCGTTTAGTAAGCTATGCATACTTCCAACTGCACTCCTGCCGGTTACTATGCTGTCTGAGCGTTCTACGCCCCGTGATTTATTTTTACGAAGGGAACCATGATATACTGATATAATTTTTTTTTGAAATAGTTTACGATTGAAGACAAAACAACCTATCGCGAATATGCACGAAGCCACAACAAAGCCAACAGCCACGCCCAACAACATGTTGTCATTGACAACAGGACACGGAGGGAGCGACGTGTTTGCCATAAATGGTTCCATTATAGACGATGAATTTGTACCGTTCAAGGTGAGAGGTGTAGGATGTACAGAAACGTTGGTGTTCTGTGTAGTGTAACTCACCATTGATTCAATAGCTGTTGTTTCTTTAACGCACTCGTGTTTGAAGCAAGGAGTGACTAAATGAGTTGACCCATTTTTTTCAAGATTTAAATACAATAATGGAGTTTCGTTTTCTTTCTCATCTACACAAGTAGATGGATGAACAACCGTTGAATTGTATACACACTGCCTTTCTAATTTCCGGGTGCAGGTTTCTATGTCGCACGAGTCGGATGTATTATTCTTAATCGTTGGCTTCCACGGTGTCCAAACTGGACATGGTCGAGTATTGCAAGGTCGTACTTCTGTGATAATCTGATATTTATCAAATTTTCTTAAATCATGAATGATTATTTTCACTCGCGCACTTTGTCCGCCTCCGCAAGTCTTATCGCATTGTTCCCAGTTGAGCCAATACCCGGAGCAGGCTGGAGTGATATAATAAGAGATAACAGATTTTTTACATGTAGGTTGTCCAAACTCACCTGAAAATACATTAGCAACATTTTAGTTAAAATGATACAGTTCGGCAATTGCAAGAACATATCATTTATCTATATATAATTACAATTTTTGTTTTCGTCAATACAGATGCTATATATATAATAATAATAAAAAACATTCTATATTGACAGGCCAAATCACGAATATATCCTCTAAAAATCAGAGTTGTGTTTTCTTATTTATATTTTTCCTATTTTATTGCCAAATTTGGAATTGAGTAATATGATCGAAGTGAAATTTTATTTTATCTGCTTGACATTAAATCCAGCTCACTGAGAAACCATAAAACCACTCTACCTTTAGTACCGTCGTAGCAAACTGCAAAGGACGTCTTTTTGTAGAATTTACATCTTCGTCTTCTGGGCAAAGAGTACCTTTCAGAATCATTCGTACCGTTTCGAACCCAACCTTTCTCACATTCAACAGACGCTTTGCTGATAACAGCACTGTCATTAGGCAGTGATATTTTACATGATCCATCCAGTCCATCGATATAAATCCTTTTGTATAATCCAGTACTTATAGGAGCCTGTTGTGCGTTCGTCTCTATCGTTGTAATGTACACAAGTATAACAAAAAATGAACAGAGCGCAGTGCAATCCATTCTGTTGACAGCTCTTCAAAATGACTATGTGAGTAGACTATTTATTCATCATGAATCGACAGTTCTATCGCTGTTATTAATTACACGATATAACTAAAAAAATATAGAAAAAAGAAACATATATATATATTGAATAGTGTCATAGGATCGTTTCAAGCATTGGATTCGGGCTGTTGAATTGTAAACAGTATTTTATCAAGTAAATTGTGTCCATTATTTTTATGAAGTGTTAAAATCATTTGCTCTACGACACAGCTTATATCCTTGAAAGCACTGCTGGCCCGCCGGCCCTACGCAAGTGGAGGTCGTAAATTTAGAAGTCGAGCTGCGAAACCTGTGTAGAACATACGGAAAAGGTATGCTACCATTTGCGAGTGGAACATTGTCTTGAAACAGAAATACAATGGCAGGGGAATTTTTCAATAGAGGAATATCCTGAATAATGTGAAAATTAAAAACGTGACGTGTGGTATACATTCATCGTGAAAAGTTGTAACAAAACAAGGAAACTCAATATTCAAATATTTGATGCAAGCTCAAAATATATGAGACAGCAACAAATCACTGACAAGTGTATTTGTCGAGCTGTTTTGCACACAACAATATATATTATTATATGCGCCCACTCAGATGTAGAGAATTACTAAATTTTGGAATTTGAATTTGAAATCCTATTAAATTGGCGTAGCGTACTATATGTTACAATCTGGATGAACAGGTTGGACTAACCGATAGACCGAATCAAATCTTAAACTTTAAACCTTTGATGTTATAATGGCTACGCCAGCGTACTATCAGCTCTTGTAACTAGTGGTGCAAATAATTTTATATATATATATATATAAAGTATAAAGATATAAATAATTAGGAAAGAGAATATTTCTTCATTCAAATACTGAACAGCATTGTTCATATGAAAAAATAAACAAACATCAAAATATTAAACAACAATTGAGTTGTTTTTTGTCGTACGCTAATTTCCTATGTCACGATTTTCATAAAAAAATATATACCGGTATATATATATATATATATATTCGACTACACCAGAAAAGTCGAGTAACTTCACGAAAAGATCTTACATTCCGTTTTTGGACTTCTTCTGTTTGATATCGAGGTCTGACTCCCAGTTCATGAGGAATCAGTTTGGTCTGTTATAAAAAAAAAAATTCCACTACGAAGGTTATAGACTTTTGATGACATCATTTGACCGTCTGACCAATACAATAAATTTTGTTTCAACCCAAATAGAGATAGAGACACACTTATGCTTGATATCCACAGAAAACTCGAAATCCGTTTGATATACACTATCTGCGACGACTTTGAATATCCTATTGAATCCTATGATTTTTTATAAACGTGAAAATCAATTATTCTTAGTTAATATTTAAAAATTAAAATCAGGGAATCGGCGAAATGGGATCGAGTTTCCAGAATCAGTGATTAATATTAGTTAGAAATCATTAATCATGAATGTTTTCCCAAATGATTTGAAATTCTTAGCGTTCTATCTATATATACGATATATAAATCCCAAGTGCCTTATGAGCTCACATGGACAACTATTTATTTATCTATCTGTATCGGACGTGCACTTGTCAACTTTCTCGAACTTTTCTCCCCTTTTTCATTACTTAAATAGCACAAATAATCTATAATGGTCCATGGCGAATACAGAAAAATACGTTTTTTTTTACGTAATATAAGGAACTCACACATTAACAGATGTTCGTTTGTACACGACTTGTTCAGATGACTAAGACAAGCAATAGTTTACAACATCATCTATTCTTCTGTATGCATGTTTGCCATTTTTACATTGAGTCAGCGGAACATCTCGACAATCTAACTTCTGTTTTAGTAAGCCGAGAGTATCGATATCCCATGCATGACATACACGCCACATCTATACCCTATGCTTGGAAAAAATAACACTCTTCTAATAACTTCATAGTGCGTCACTAAACAGTGCAATTCAGCATTTACGTCTAACGTCATCTCACGGAACTGATTCAGCGGATATTTCTAACTTAATACCTTTCCTTTAGTCAGTCAGTGTTGTAACGTTATTTCCTTGCAGACTCAGGAACTCATATTGAAATACAATAGGTGAATTTAATCGACACGTTACATTTCGTAATAAATATTATAATTGAGCTTGACAACCCCTATGGGACACGTCACAATGACTCATTCTATTCCCAGTAGGTCAACTTACAAAAACATTTTTCTATTTTTCACTTCCATTATTATTGATATTTTTCTTGAGGTGGACTAAAATGCAATACACTATATTTTTGTCAACATTTTGCACAGTGCAGATGAAGTCATTCGCTCGTGATAACACGACACGTGGTATTTATCATTAGGCAATACATGTTGCTATAAAACGTGTCTGAGCATTGAACAGCCATCCTTCACATGAATATACTACAACGTTGCAGTTGGTTTATCATTTAAGATGGCGCTTTATATTTTTCGAGTCTTCTTAAATATATGCGAACAAACGCCAATATTAAAATACTATAAACGATTGTTTCGAAATATACATTTTTATAATGCGATGCTACTGATTTACAGTGAGATATCAAAACTATAATATCTAGTCCCCAAAACGGCACCGCATAGTAACGTATAACCGATCACCGTGCAATTGTCTATATCTACCCTGACACTGAACGCTTCAGGCACACAGCCAAAAATAGATGATGAAATCAAATTTTTGGACCTATGCAAAATTTGACAAATCAGCTTATTTGTATATTATTACTGTTTTGAAAAAAATCTCAGATACAGTAAAATATTCAAAAATACAATGCTATTATTATCGAAAGAAAGATTAGTACAAAAATAAAATTGTCCAACTTATTGAACCAAATCATCTGAGTTGCATATATTTTTATTTAAATATTTAGATTCGGCAGCTTATATTTAGAATTCACCCTTTCCTATAATATATAGCACAATGAAAATCGGATGATTAACATAAACATGAAAAAAAATCAATGATTAAAGGCAGGAAACTGAAACCCGAACCCCCCGTTCGTACGTACCACTTCCGTTCTCAGATTGTTCTTGCGTTCAGCAGTAAAAATACACATCCATCCATTCACATCCATTGATCAAAACGAGGAAAGTGTGGATGCATTGTTAATTGTTATCCGATACCTTATACTCGTAACATTTCCACTCGACGTGCGTTGTACAATTTTGCACTGAAACCCAGATTTTGAGGTGTACGAGGAGTAATGTGAGCTAACTAGATGCATTTTTATGAAGCATAATACATGAGTATATTCAAATATATTGTATATATAAAAAGTCATATAACATCAACTACATTTTTATTTAGTAAAATGTACAGACCATGCTTCCATTTCGGCAATCTTATTCCCTTGAAATGCAAACACGATTTCCAACTTTTTTGGAAAAGGTTCTGGACGTATATTATCTTATTGTTTTATCTTTTCCCCTATCAAGCGTTATCGCTCTAAGGAATTCCCTTTTTGCTGTTGTTCTGATATTGTTGACTCGAATTATCCAAGACCTGTGCCAACCGTCATGTAGGCCTGCCTACTCAGTGGTGGATTTTTTGTTAGCCGGTTCCATCACAAAAGTCATTTGTTTCAGCCAGTTCTGTTGCCAAAATGTCATTGACAGTAACCAGTAATGCTAACCGGTTCGGTGATCTCATAAAATTCCGTGAGACGGTTCTATAGAAACGGTGCGAACCGGCTGAATCCCACCACTGGGCTACTGACATCTCAGTCTCAAGATTAAACAATATGGTTTTATAGCTTTACCGTTTCTGCAATTGCTTACAACTTCCGTATTAGTATTTTTTTTTTCAATTTCAGTTGCGAGCTCAACACTATGCTGTGTGCCAAACATGTATTAAAACCAACAAACTGCTGCAAAGAGCATTAGCCAGGGCAAACTGGAAGAGTTGGAACACAGGGAAAGGTTGTTTCGCTCAAAGAGGGTTAAATAAAATTGATTGTTGTCTAACTTGCCTTCTACTAATTTTGAATCTGTTGTATAAGAGCTATGTGTTAATTGCACACTATGCACTTATCAATTATTACCGGCACAGCGCCAGATTTGTGTGACTTTTGCTGTATCAAAATTGACGATTGACCCGTTGAAGCTTTCAAAAAGCCCTTTTCTCTTTTCTATATTCTTACAGTTTTCCACTGCCATTTAAACATTTTTCTTCGACTATCCTGCTCCTATTATAACGCCGAATAACAAATCGAACGTCAGATTGGTCTCATATCCATAGACTGTTAAAAATTTTGACATAGTTACCGAAATATTCCTGTAAATCATTTCTGAGTTATGATGTCCTTAAGATATTTCAGTCAATATAAGATTAAGAGGATTCTTCGTACTTGTATCTACATAGTCGCGTTATCATCTGGCTTGCTTTTCTGATTAGCTAAAAAACTTCGTCATATTTATGAATTTCCTTTAGTGCAATACTAGGTTCGAAGGAAATTACTCGATTGTAGGCATCCGTTACACGACATTGCTGAAAACGAGTCACGTTCACCAGTTACCTCATGTTTTTGCGGCGATGATTAACGATGATTTTGTCGTGTAATTCATTATTCAGCATTGTACATTGCATGTTCTACTTCCTATATCAATATGTCAAAACATATTTTTTTATGTTCTGAAAGGAATCAATTATAGATTCAACTAAATGCACATATTGGCAGCATTTTATAAGCCAAAATGATATACTATTGGAAGTAAAAAAAAAACACGAAAACAAGAAAAATATACAAAATAATTTTTTTTTAAATAAAATAAAAAAGTAGCTGATCAAAATTTCTAATTTTGCCTTTTCCTTCATGGCCTCAAGTTTTATTACAAATTTAAAAACCGATTCCGGATCTTCAGGTAAAAAAAATTAGGATTTTTCCTTTTTATTATTATTTTTGCTATAAGTCCAAAAGTGAGCCTACTGAACACTTTGTGTTATAGTTTGAAGTATGTAGTGAAAGTAACTTAATCACAAACATTACAATATCTGCATATGCTTTGAAATGACATCAACAAAACTTGTTTGTGACTGATAAATAATTGACTCCATGATTTATGACTCCATAAACGAAGGCTGGTTTAGAAATCTCTGCTAAACATCCGAGTGTCACATAGCAACTAGTTAAGACATAAATCGTGCCAAACGTTGCTGCATTATTATTGCATAATCCACGGCAACATCGTTCTAATCGAAACATACTTTTTGATTTATTCTGATCGAGCATGACCGATTGATATAACGTTATTCATCTACGGCCAATGCTAGATACGACTCGCAACGAGAGATTACTCGTGAACGAAGTGTTCGATCGTGGCATTTCACATGCATATGTCATCCGATTGTTACATACAATTTTATTTGCTTGCATATTGACGAGAGCAGTGTTTCCCAAACTTTTTTGGTCGCGGACAATTTTCACACCAGGAAAAATCTTTGCGGACTCAACGTGCGTTAACTGTAAAACTCTATGTGAAGGAGCAATAAAAGCAAAAACAACAGAATTTCAACGAAGTCAGTTTATAGTCCATGCTTATAAAATCCAATGGAAACCATAGCGAGGGTGCTCCCATCACTGACGCACTCGAAAGATATTATGAGATCACTGTCGACGATTCGCTGAGGAAAATTATAGGAAGGAATTTGCAACTACAATTTCCAGATGAATTCACTCTAGTTTTTGTCCTTTTGTCTTCGTAAAATTTTTCAAATCCTCCAGAATGTTATTACTGCGTACCCTTTGAAATCTGATAGAATTCACCTAATGGTATTTCATATTCAAATTAATATATCCGCTCGGAAAATTTTGAAATGTTACATTTTTGTTATTTGTATTGGTGATTCGAATTTTACCCACGAATGGCCCACTGAAAAGATGTGAAATTCATGCGATATTGGTGCAAAATAATATCATTCATTATTGGAGCAATGGTGTTGCAGGAAACAAATAGATGAAAAAAAACACCAAGTATAATACTCAATTTTAACGTACGCGAAAGTGGGGAAGATTGGAACACATATTTTGAGCCGTTTATTCTGCACATTCATTTCACTTTGCAGGACTAATGCCGAAAGGGGTAAATCTAGTTTTTATTCAGCGACTAAAAAATTCCCTTGCTATACATATCTTACCACCAAAAATGCTTTAAAAAACGTTTGTCAACTGTCCCACTATACCCCACTTGTGGGGCACATTCAGACAGACCCTGGGGCATTCTCTTAAATTCAACGAAGTATGCCCTTTTAAATAAGCAAAGAATCAGCATTATCATCTAAAGAACGGTGGACTTCAGAAATAAATGTTCAACTAAAATATTTCTTCAAAAAATTACCTAAAAAGTTGAGCTAATTCCTTTTTCAAATCTGAAACTGATAACAATTTTTGATTCTCGAATATATTCCATATTGGGCCATGGGCCAACAGATACTGTAATATTACACAAAACATAATGCATTTTTAGGCCTCTAAGCACTTAATGGATCGAGCACAGTCAAATTGTACCCAGTGAACCCCGGCCCATTGTTCCCCACAGGAAACAAGGCACATCCACTCGCCAAAGTTA